AACACCAGATGTATATGTACTGGAATCAAGCTTGAATCCACTTAAATAACATTTTCAGTTGTGTTATTAAAATATTCCAAATAGTGTTTTATTTTATTGCCTGCTATTCTAATTTCAAATAAATAATTCAGTTCTGTATTTTGGGGGGCAGGAGCGGCAAGTGCTGGAATTTGTAATTTACGTGACAACGCCTGAACGCAACACAGGCTCCTCTCCAATTGACTGTGTGTTCAGTGCTGCGTTGCGCTGCTGTGTGAGCTGCATGTTACACACTGTCTATAACGATAATTATGCCAGGTAACAAACTGCGTCGGACTTGGGTCACTTTCGGTCAGGTAAATGCGGCCTGAGCCGCATCAATTTTTCCTAAAGATGATGTCTGTCATTATGTTCAAGTGTTTGTTTTTCTTATAAGTTTGGTTTTAATTAGTTATTTAATGCTATAAAACTGGGATTTTACAACATGACTGTCAACTGTGTGAGCCAGCTGTTGGGCTCACATTCAGCAGCGCTGCTCGAGATTGGCTGGGCAGCTGTATGGGCAGGAAACTTGAAACTCAGAGCCTGTGACTGCGTGGACTCTGGCTCCGCATGACGTTATGAGAGCATGATGGCAGCGGCCATATCCAGGATATTTTACCTAGGGTGACCATATTTTGATTTCCAAAAAAGAGGACACTCGGCCAGTCACAACTACTTAAATGATACTCGCAGTTTACTCAAAGATGCCTTATCATTTTAATATATTTTAAATTTATTTGTATGGATAGAAAATTCAGTTTTATTACAAAATAATATCTCTCAAATATAGAATTTCAGATAGGCCCCAATAGGGGACACATACACACACTAGAGTGTGGTGATCCGAGCCCGACGGTACCCGACAGGTCGGGCCGGGTTTGGTCAAAAATATAGCTATAAATTGTATTCGGGCTCGGGTCGGATTCAGTCAGCTTTCAGTGAAAATGTAGTGTAAAAATAAATAAAATCCTATTGTCTGTCCTGTTTGTTGCTTGGGCGCTGTTATTTACGTGACAACACCTGAACATAACACACACAGACACACATTGGCTGTTTGTTTCTACCTCTCCCCTCTCTGGAAGCCTCGGACCTCCAGCCGCCCGCCTCCTCCTTGATTAAACGCTGAAAATAAAATAAAAGAGGGAGACAGGTTTTTCCTATTTTATCTTATTTTGTTTTATTTCTCCCTCTCCTCTCGCTAGAAGCGTCGGACCTCGCGCCTCCCGCTCCCGTCTCAAACATGGAGGTCTCCCTCTCCGCTGAGCACGCCCGGCCTGTTAAATAGCCTGTAACCGTAACAACTCAGTGCATTGGTCATTAAATAATGTCGGGCTCGGTTCGGGTTCGGACAGAAATATGCGGCCCGTGCCGCACTCTAACACACACACAAACACACGGAAAACCAGACATTATCTTCAGTTTATAAAAACCCCCCGGACGCCCCGGACAGGACGTGAAAAGTGGACATGTCCGGGCAAAAGAGGACGTTTGGTCAGCCTATTTTACCTTTACCTCTGTACAGTGGGGGTAAGTGGAGATGTGTCGTCCATCTTTATATGGTAAATGGGCCTGCACTTGTATGGCGCCTTTTTAGTCTCATGAACACTCAAAGCACTTTAACACTACCTGTTACCTTCACCCATACATTTACACACTGGTGGACGAGGCTACCATGCCATCTGCTACACAGTTTAAACACACTCATACTCTGATGGACCAGCCATCGGGAGCAATTTGGGGTCCAGTATCTTGCCCAAGGATATTTTGACATGTGGAGTGGAGGAGCCAGCGATCGAACCACTGATCTTCCAATTAGTGCAAGGTAGACTACATATGTAAACAGCATATGGTAGTACAGCAATATAGCACATAGTAGAAAATGTAGGTAGTAGTTTGCAGTTTTTAAAACAACTCAGACCAAAACGTTTAGTCTGAATGTTAGAAGAAGCTTCAGCAGAGTGACCGTGAGACAAAGTAATAAAAAAAGTGAACACCAGTTGATTTATCTGTTTCTTTTGTACATCAGCGGTCGAATCTGCCATTGATAATGAATGTCAGAGTGTACAAATGGCTGCCATGGGTCTGATGCATGGTATTGCTTACACATCTAGTAAAAAAGAAATGTCTGCTCATTATCATCCATCTCACTTACTCCTTCACTTTGTCTCTTAATCACCCCAACCCCCAACAACACACACACATCCAGTACACACAACACCATAATAGACTAGGGCACTGGACTGTTTTTCTAATTGGTGTGTATTGATGAGTTGCCGCTGGTGTTGCCACAGATACAGGTCATTAACGTTACCCCCTGCCTGGCAGTGTAAGACGCACTGGAAGACACACATGCAAACACATACACACAATGACAAGTTCAAGTTGCCATGGGAACTGCTGAAATAAATGAATGAGATACGATGTGTGCAAGGAAAATCAATAAATGGACATGCTTTCTGTTGCAATCTCAATCTCTTTTTGTCCTCCATCCATCAGCACCCTCCATCCTCTGTCTGCCACCTCGCTCCGCTTCTCTCTTATCACACACGTTTCAAACTCACCTTATCAATCACAGTAAAGTTACAACGTGAAGGAACAATGTAATGTCTGAGTTTTATTAGAACCTGAACAGAAAGAAACAAATCCAACAAAAAGCAACCCAGTGAACCACAATCAGATTTACTGTGACAATGGAAAGGCAAAAAATCATCCCAATAAGAATAATACAAATGAAGAAAAACATTAATAGTAATCTAAGTAATCACAGGTGTATCAAGTTCATTATTTTCACTGTGGAGTTGTGAAATTTCAAAATAAACCTTACTGAGTGATTAGACTGACACTTTGTAGGACTGGGAAAAGTGTGTCAATTTAAAAAAAAAAAAGATCGATTTTTAAATGCCTGAATCGATATAATTCAAATGTGAATGTGAAAAGAAGTTACCGCTTTTATTGTGGTAATCTATGAGAAATATGACGTCATATTCACCTAAATAAAAACAAAGTGGAAGAGAGAAAGCAAAAAATGGTGGCTGGTTCGAGGACACAGACCTTCAGTGGCAATCCATTCAAAGTAAGCCATCCTAAACACCACCGTGATGAGTCCGATGACAGACAGCACTGACTCCCAACCGGATCAGCTAACTTTCTGTTGCTGCCATTACACAGCCCACTGTGACCCCAGCACTGGGGTTTGCGCTGGCTGTATCTGAGTTGCTACAACCACTACTGAAGGTCTGTCACCGAAACTTCAGTCCGCCGTCATCCCAGCAAAGTAGTCTATAGCGGTGAGGAGTGAGGCGGAGGGACTGCGGGAAGTGTTAGTAAGGAGAGTGAGGCAGTAAGGGGCTGAGAAAGTTTATACGCTGTGCACATCTCAACAGTAACCTAAGAATTTACCTATTTTAAATAGTAAAACTATTTGAAGTCAGTAAATGGCAGTCAATGTTGATATTTTTGCAGCTACCACAAGGAAATCAATATATGGGAAACACTGCACTAGCTTGATGAGTAGGGAACGCTAAATGCTGCAGGTTAAGTTTACTTATATTCTATATAGTACATTTTACTTATCACTTTTGTATGCAGTATATGATGTTGCTGAGATAAAAATATGAAAAACTGACTAACGTCATGTGTTGTGCCTCAAAGTCTCTAGAAGGGAATGATTCAACTTTTTCACACCGTGTTAAAAAACAAAACAAAACAAACAAAAAAAATCAAAATAAATATTTGTAGAATCACAGTAGTTAAAAATCGCAATACATATAGAATCTGCACCCAAGTATCATGATAGTATCAAATCAGGTGACAAGCATTGGTGGATTGGCCGAAAATTAATTATCAACAATTTCAATTAATCATTTACGTCATTTATCATGGAGCAGTGGTGTTAAGAGACTTACTATTGAATAATGTGAACATACATTTTACCCAACAGTCATCTTTGCATATCTGTATATGAGAAAAAATACCAAAGTAAATAAGAAATTATTATTTAAATTTAACAATTTTGATAGTTTAGTATTGTTTATTTGGAATAAGCACAGAATTTTGTTATAGATGCTACTGACTATTTTACAAAAAAAAACAAAAAAATACATGACAGGTGGGTTTGCCTTTTACATGGGCACATATGGCAAATGGCACTGTCTTGTTGGGCAATCACTCATAAGGGCCCATTCTCCACCCAAAACATTGTTGGAGCCCCCCTCTCCCCATGACACTGTACTGTCTTTACTTACGCCACTGTGATGGAGAAATCCTTAAGATTTGCTATTTTTAACCTCTCAAAATGTGTGAATTTTCTTAAAAAAAAAACAGTACGAAAAAAAGACACTGGGTTCTTGGAGATTATGATGAGCATGTTTTTTTGTTGTTGTTTTTTTAAACTATTTTCTGCCATTTCATTTTGACTAAAATATTGTATAAACAGAGTAATCAATAATGAAAATAACGTAGTTGCAGCCCTACTATTTTAAAATTGGAACCAGCTTGTGTCAAAGTAATGAGTGCTTCAAAAAGCAGAATGAGAAAAGGTAGTCAGATAAAAAGAAAAACAGTTTAAATAACTTCTGGTGATAATGATTTTAATGTAGAAAACAAAATCTGAACATTAGGTTAGGGATGACAATCTTGAATTTTAATGATCACTCCTGATATTCAGAAAATCTATCCTTCACATTTTCTGATAAATTTGTGAAATCTGTGAAAATACTTCCTTTATTCCAGAGCAACATGAAATACTACAAACAAGCTGACGTGTGAGTGCACCTCTGTAACAGAGAGACAGAAAGACAAATGGAGAGAGTGCATCATGAGTGCTTGTGATTCTGTGAGTTCATCTGCCTCGGGCTGAACTGCAGCAGAATGAATATAAATGTCTGACACAAAACAGATATTGAAACAAAAGGGGACAGAAACCAAGACAGGACTGTATCAAAGGACACACACACACACACACACACTTACACACATAATACAAAACATACCAAATCTCAGGTAGTTTAATCTCATATTAAACCTTAAAAATAAGCCAGCAGATTATCAAAATGATGATGCAAGATTCCACAATTTAAAGAGACAGAAAAGAGAAAAGGCTTTAAGACTTAGACCAAATCACAATGTTTGTTTTCAATCATTTCCAGATGGAAAAACCCCACAGCACGTACATAAAATGAAATGGCGCTGAGCAAATGCTGCCTCAATTGGTAAGTTTTAAAAGCCCACCTGAAAAAAAAAATCAATATCAGTTTGAGTGTACGCTATATTTAGAACGTTTTCACTGCTTTTCCTCACCATCAGACAGCCCTTCCAACAGGGGACTGAAGCTGTTATCACAAAGCCACCAGACTCTACTGACAAACAGTCATTTTACTTCACTGAACATTGCAGGAAGTTGCTGGCCCACACTTGGCTCAGTTGGTTAGTGTGTAAGGTAAAGCAGTAAAAAGTACTCCAAATACAGCATATGCTTAAATTGATGCAGATGTTTTTTTAGGTGGGTTTCGTTAGGCTGCTAAACACACACTGCTTGACTTCCTTGCAGGTGGATTTGGTTTAACAAAGACACTAGCAAAGCAACAAAGTACATAAAATAAGCCCAGCAGAAACGTCAGGTAGGTCGGACCACAGTGTTTTACCATATATTTTTAAATGTTACAGTTACGGCTAAAATTATAACAGAAATAAAAAAGCTTGCCAATTTCAGGTATCTCAGCAACTGAAAAAAATTGCTGGTTGCTACCCAGAAGTGATTATTTACATTCGTGCACAACACAGTGATTCATTCTATATGAGATAAAAATTTCACTATAAGTACCTAACTACAATTTTCTGTAATATATTTAGCATTTTTTGCATTTATGCTCAATCATAAATGAATCTTAGGGAATTCATTAACATGACTGCTAATAAATATTGATCTGATATAATTCAGTTTACTACAGTTAGCATAAAATTTGAAATATAGGTTATGTTATCTAAATAAAAAATCTAGTCATGGTATCTTTACTTAATATATACATTTTTATTCCCGTAAGAAAGGTTCTAGCTTTATCAACACATACTTACAGTACATATATGGCTGCTGTCAAAGGGGACAGCCTCTTTTTTGCAACATATCTATAATCCATAACGTATGGTCCTTAACAAATGGCTTCAGTCATAGTTTATGAAGTAACTGCAGCATATGCAGTAAATGTACCTGTGGAAACAGTTACAGATCTGTTGCAGTAATAGTACACAGTAGCTCATTAAAATGGCTTCAGTCTCTAACACTTTCCACTCTTACCCAAACATGAGTGTAGTTTCTTTGTGTGAGAAGAACTCATTTTTGTTCCCACATCATGTAAACTATGCGTGCTAAGTCCAGCATCATCTGCCTTTTCAACAGACGTCCTGCTGGTTCAGGGTCAAGCTGAGGTTTAAAGGTCACCACACCCGACAGGACTTTGCACCTCGGTTCATAACCGACGACTCAGGGCAGCTGAATGCTTTCCGAAACTCTTCATAGTTACTCATCGCTCCGATAACTCTGCAGGGCGATAGTGATGGTAAAAGTCAGGTTGTGAGGATTGTGTGTGGAATCTTTAGTGTGTGTGTGTGTATGTGTGTGTGTGTGTGTGTGTGTGTGTGTGTGTGTATGTGAGCTCACCTGTATTTTGGTGGACTGTGAGCTCCACTCTGGATCTGGTCTCGGGCTGCTTCTGGTCTGTATGAGTTACATCTCACCTACAGAGTACAAGTACATAGGATAAATGGTTTCATTGTCAATGGGTGCGGTTACATGATGGCTTGTCATTTGGAATTAAATAAATCTGGATGAAATCGTTTGGAATTAAAGTTTTTCCAGGTAGTTTACATGGGAAATATTCATTCCGAATGAGGGTTTACACGGGAGATCAGTTTAATCGCCTTTATTCGGGTCCACGCAAGGTTTGGGGCAGGGAAAGCTTCTGATTGGATAGGGGGCGGGGCAGATGTTACGTGTTTACGTTACCGGAAGAAAACACTGTAGTCCTCGCTCCGGATAACAAGATACTTGACGACGCTGTTCTTAGTGCCTTTGTCGGGCTTGTTTTGCTTACATTCTTAAAGCAGCAATACGACAACAACCTTGTTCTGCTAATGCTTCGTCTGTTGAAGAGGAGAAGGGAGGCAGAAGGTCGAAGAAGGGAGACAGAAGACCATGCTGTGGCGAATGGAAACCGGTTAGTGCAACGAGTTCGACTGCTCTATCTCAGCCAGTTGCTATGTGTGCTATACACGTCATTGCGCCAGAAGGGCAAGGAAACGAGCATGCGCAGAAAGACCGGAATGAACTTAAAGAGGAATGAGTGTATACAAGTGCGAGAAATTCTTTCATTCGGAATTAGAAACGGAATATTCCAGCCCCTTACATCAGATTGAATTTTCAATCGTATTGGCCATTTTCAATCCGAATTAGGTGTTTACAAGATCACTTTTAATAGGAATGAACTTTAATTCTGAATGAAAAGGGAATTAAACTGTCCATGTAAACGCGCTGAATGTGTACTAAGGACCAGTTTTGGGAAGTAGCTAGTTACATGCTACTAAATTACAAAATACAAGTAAATGCTATCAGTTAAATGTTAATGAAGAAAAAATACGTAAACTACTCAAAATATTGGTGATTACAGAGGGGTCACATTGAAAATATATTCTTTCTCGTAAAAAGTTTATATGTAGAATATAACTTTAATTCCGTTGCTTTGTCTTATTATCGTGTATGAATGCTGTCTTTTGGCAGAGCCTATTTCTGGACATTTTTCAGTTTTATTGCCCAGCTTAAATCATTTGTTAGAAAAGCAATGGAATGTAATAAGTTTGATGAAGTACTTAAAATAGTTACATAACTACTAATCTGTAACCTTTTACACTTCAAATGTAACCCTGCCAGCACTGCTAGGTAAAAATGTTAAAAGTAAAAGTCCTCCATTTAAAATTCTAATTAAAAAGTACACACGGAATAAAAAATAAAATGAAAATATATTTTAAGAAACAATAAAGAAATTACTAATTAAGCAGAATGGCTCCTTTCACAATAATATAGGTTATATTATAATTACTGATGTATATGTGCATCACTTTAATGCTGCAGTTGGTAAATGTGAAGCTAATTTTAATACTTATATATTACTTGCTATATTAATTAGCTTAATTTATAATAATGCATCATAATTAATTTGTTGATTATATTTTCTTTTAATAATCTAAATCTATAAAGTAACTAAAGCTGTCAAATAAATGTAGTGCAGTAAAAAATACAATATTTGCCTCTGAAATGTAGTGGAGTAAAAGTAATAAGCAGCAAAAGATGGAATTAGTCAAATGAAGAACAAATACTTCAAAATCACCCTTGGGTACAGGACTCAAGTAAATGTACTTTGTTACTTTCCACCACTGCTCATATGGATTTAAATAAACAGTTTGATTTTATGACACATTTGATTACACATCACAATTTCTGAACCACAAACACAACTGATATAAGGACTAATGTCATACAGCTTTAGATTTTACAGTTGAAACTGCTTTGAAAGCTGTATATCTTACCAGTTTAAGCCAACTCAACTTTAAAGGGGTAGTTCACCCCAAAATGAAAAAAAATATTTTTCCTCTTACCTTTAGTGCTGTTTATCAGATTAAGTTGTTTTGGTGTGAGTTGCAGAGTGCTGGAGATATTGGCTGTACAGATGTCTGCCTTTTCTCCAATACAATGGAACTAGATAGCACTCTGATTGTGGTGCTCAAAGCGCCAAAAAGTTAATTTGAAAAACTCAACAGCCAAGTCTCTTTCCAGAAATCATGACCTGGTTACTCAAGATAATCCACAGACCTTGTTGTGAGCAGTTTCATGTAGGAACTATTTTCTTTCTACCAAACTTCATCGACCAATTGTATCACCACGCAGAAGGAAGCATGCATCTACTCATGGACGAGAGGCTCGTGCTTGTGTCAGCGCGAAATGTTAACATTCATTGTGTCCGTCTTGGCTGAGCTGTAACATTAGCTAGCTTAGTGGTGCTAGGTGAGATAGCAGTAGATGCACACATGGTGATATGGTTTGGGGGTCTATCTCAGTAGAAAGAAAACAGTTCCCACATAACACTGATCAGAACAAGGTCTGTGGATTATCTTGAGTAACCGGGTCATGGCGGCAGACATCTCTACAGCCTATATCTCCATTACTCAGCAACAATCCAGACTGATTAATAGCACTACAGGTAAGAGGAAAGATATATATTTTCATTTCAGGGTGAACTGTTCTTTTCACCTACTTTTGCGAAATACCAGTATATTTAGACAGGACAAGAGAGGAGCAGATAAGTGCTCTTACTGGTTGAATCATGGCATTGGTAGAGTGGAAAAAATAGCTTGTGTCCTTACATGAGCATAGCTTAAGAAGAACAGTTGGTTGTTGTTCAGTCCGACTCCAGGCAGCCGAGGCTCCTCCACACCACCTCTGCTCTCATCCACCCACCGCCTGTACGCCTGCACACAAACATACAGGGAACATTTTCTCACCTGGGTTTGTAAGCATGACAATGGCAAGTTTTATTAATAGTCCTTTCACACAATGGAAATGTGGGGTTTCAAAATACAGGTAACTCACAACTAAATGCTAACCAATTACAAACATAAGGTGCAGGTGATAAACATAGGCGTCACTACAAACAAACACATGCCAAGGTAATAACAAGCACAGGGGAAACTACTGAGGGCATGCACTGGTATTCATGCTGGTTCACTGGCACGGCTTACTGGCACACCTGAACACAATAAAATCATAATTAAAGTAATTAGTTACACCAATAATTTTCAGTGTGAAAGGTTAAGTGTCTGCTTTTAAAAACGCCTAAAAATGTTTTCGCAAGATCAGGAAAGGCTTGTTTTCTGTCATGTAAGAAAACAGATCATACCCTAAAAGACTCCCTGATTCCTCCATTGTCTGCTATGTTTTCTGCTAGAGTCCTCTTGCCTCGCACCTAGAGAACAAAAAAGAAACCACACAAAGCACAAATTCTCAAATTATTACTTCAAGTATTTATCAAGGTTACAGTCATACATTCTGGATCAGAGCGACCTGACTCTGACTACTGAAACACATTAAATAGCACATAATAAAAACAGAAATACACACTTGAATAAGACTGTAAAGTGTCAGACTGACATTATGCAAGAATATTCTTGACTGGATTGTTATTCTAATGTGCTTTAATGTTTTTAAGGGATTATTTTGTTGCTGTACATTCTGTAGAGTCAAACGTCTTACATTCAGGCTTGCTTCCTCCCAGTGGTAGCCATTATACTGCTCAATCATACACTGTGTCTTCTCATTGAAGGCTATTACAGACGAGTTGCTCCACCACTGGTCGAGGTTGCCATTCTTGTCATATTTGCGACCTGTTCATGAAAAACATTACACACAAAATAAATTACCACTGTGTTAGAAATTGCTGATGTGGTTTTCTGAGGTCATTGTTGGTGATCAGTATTTACCGTTATTGTCGAAGCCATGTGTTAACTCATGTCCTACTATCACCCCGATGGCACCGTAACTTAAAGATCTGGAAACATATAACAAAATGAGTCACAACATTTAAAACAGGGAAATTTCTTCGCACAGTAATTTAAATTGAATTGCTGCGGGATGATTTAAACAGTTTGCAAAGAGGACTTGATAATACAAATAGGCTACATGTTATGAGTAAACTCTGTAAAATTCCATTAGCAACCAAGCTAACGAACATTATACCTGTCAGTTAGCGAAGTCACTAGCTTGGAGAGCTTTTTTAACCCTTCAATAACTCTTCATAGAATGGAATACTTAACAATACTGAGAACAAAATAATAGGGGAGAGTAAACAGCAAAGTACAAAGACAATAGAAAGAAGCTATTGTAGCTGACTAGCATTAGCATGTTCCCTGGCTGGCTAGAATGTTAGCTTTGCCAGCCAATGGACAGCTATCTGCTAATAATTTAAACTAAATTTCCATATTGACGTAGTTTGCTGTGACTAAAACTCTGGTTGTTTTTTTATGCTTTAAAATGTTACTTGTTAGAGTAGACACTTCACTGCTAACTTTTCTTGGTTAGCATGATCATCATCATTGCTAATAGTTGCTGTTACAGAAGAGAAATGCAGTCACATCCTGCTCTGCTTTTCTGAAATAACAAGATTATCAAAGATATCTGAGAAAACTTGTTATGGAAAAATATTTCTGCTCTTGCTTTTCTGCTTTAATGAGATAATATTCTACTTGATTTAGAAAAAATGGAATTCAATGGATTATTATCCTTTTAATTCAGGAAAACAAGATTTTTTCCCATGAGGTAATCTCAAGATCCACAGATTATATTGTTGTTAATTCTGAATAACAAGGCAAATATTTTTACCCATGATAGTTTCCTCAGAATTGAGATAACAACCTTGTTTATTCAGAAAACAATTAAACACGTTATGCTTCTGTAGTTTCTCCCTGGAATTCCATGTATAAATGTTTTGAAAGTGCAAGGCAAGGACAGGTGCTGACAGTATTTTCCAGCAAGTATTATGCAGAAAATATCCATAATTAGGCTTTCAAGACACTGTAGCAAAGCTATTTCCAAAACAAAGCTCTGTTTTTAGGACTGTCACTTTCATTGACTGCATTAATTGGTGCACAAGACTATAAAAATTATTTTTTAGTATTATGACTACGTTTAGTTTTTGGAAACAAACTAATAAATCCTGTGAATTTCAGACGTATCTTTCATTAGCCGTATACTGTACAAAAAGTATTGAGAATTATTTCATTTGTGGTTGCGAAATATTTACAAATGAAAAAAAACAACAATCTATTTAGGACTAAAACTGACCTAAAAATAAAATTATAACTTATTAAAAAACATATGACTCAGCAGAAGGTACTGGATTATGCTGTTTGTCCACAGGCCTCAGCACTTTACTTCTTCATTGTGGTTTTCTGTCAGGACATTCATGTCACAATAATTATTTCAGAGCTTCACATTCTCCTGAGTAAAAAGCATGAGGCTGCACTTTTCTTTGGTCTGTTAGTAGAGCGTGTTACATTTCTTTAATCTCACCTTGGATACTCTCTTCCCCAAAAGAAGGGTTTTTGAAGCTCTCCCGCGGGAAATCCTAAATGAGAAGATCAAAATAGTTTGAATCTGTGTGTCTTTAGCCCTGTCCAGACAGGATTCATTTACTGAACAAGGTCGGCCTTTTTTCTTCTCCAGCCTGTATGAGGCAGCGTTATTTGTGTTTAAACACTGTGATTTGTCAGGAGAGTAACTATTATAAAACAGATCAAATTTGACCTGTTTTAGAAAGCACTCCTCATGTCCTCTCTGTCAGGTTTAGTTTGCTTTTAATGCAAAGCCCCAATTATTTCTGACAATGAAATGCCTCCTCAGCCATTTCATAGGTTTAATAATCCCCAAAAATGTATCCTAGGCAGATACTTAATTGAAATCACTGAGGTGCGGTGTGGCGTCAGCCTGTCTGGACAGAACTTAAGAAGTCAAGAACTTCTGAATACTTAAAATATTAACATCTCAATAATCAATCTTACGGATCTGATTTGTGGAGGAACTGTAGAAGGCGTTCACAGTCGTTGGGTTTGTAAACCACCTGCAACACAAACACACGTACACATTATGGCACGAATGAGGAAATAAATCAAAAAGTCACAGCATGTCGACACAGATTAGTCCTGTCACTCACTCTGTACGTGGGACGCTCTTTCGGAGCCAGGCGATATCCGACTGGGCGATGAACTTCAACGTCTGCATCACATTGCTGTAGTAGTCCCTCTCACTGAACGCTAACTGAAGCATACACAAACGCAAATACACACTGTTAAGTACTGCACTTAACCCCAAGTAACCCCACAGTTAATCTAACGTGTGCAAAAATTCTATTTGGGAAAAAAACATTAGTTTCATTGGCCTCTCTGAGCCTGTTTATACCTGGTTTTAACATGTGTTTCAGTGATCCCAACACAAGTGGACAGTTGAGACACATCACCGTTCACACCTATGTCTATCATGCGTATCCAGCTTACCACTTGTGTTCAGATATTGTTACTGTTTACGACACGTACGCCACAAGTTTAAAGGACTCCATGCACAGCTATGTCAATACTCTTGTTAGCTGCTCGCTCGTCATGTTAGCGCTTGTGTCGGTACAGCTGAAGATATCGCTGTCAGCAGAATTCAACATGTCTCCTTCCATAGGGCAAAATGACGGACAGTCACGGAACACTTCATCCAACTAGTTTTAAAATGGGCAAGTTATAGAACATTACCTCAAGTCATCAAGTTTTCTTTAGGAAATCGAGGTAAAACAGGCTGAGTCATTTTGTCAGGGAAGTATTTCTTTAAATGTTAAGATTTTTAAGATATAAGCACATATTTGCTAATCAAAAATCAATGCAACTAAGACAAACAGGTGATAAACATTTCTGCCCATTAATCTCTTGAAGTCACATTTATAGGCAAGTAGATGCAAGGAAAAATCTAAAATAAGAAACAATCAAACTTATATTTTTTGCCTTCTTATTTGCTAATTTTACGTTTTCATTTCTGATATTAATTTGTACCCCTGCTATGCTAAAGAACCAGCTTTTACTAGTGTTATACAAACCTCCTTTAAATCTTCATTGAGGTAGGTGTCATTCAGTATAAACTCGGGGTAGCCAACTTTAGCCAGGACTGCATGAGCCTTGAGAGAGGGAGACAAGAGAGTGAATGTGACGGAGGATTTACACAGATTTTATATAATCATAAACACAACTGAATACGATTAAATTCTGTTACAAGGAATAAAGAGTGAGATTCACAGTCAAGGTGCCCTGACAAAAAAATAATCCTAACACAGCTTTGTTACATAAGAGATAAAGAGCCAATGGGAACAATAAAGAGTTAGTATTGAAGAAAAACTCAAGGTGAACTGGATGTGTTTAAATGCTTTCAACATCGTCGTTTCAACAGATTTGCTGGATGAGAAGAAAAGGTTCAAGGAGAAAAGAACTCCATTAAAGGAGCACTTAAAAGTCAATGGTCCTCCACATACAAAGACAGCAAAATGAATGACGGCACGACGCTGCTGTGTCAAAGAAAAACAAGGTCTTAAATCAAAAAAATGTGCGAGCACTCATGATGAAATGAGACGAAGCAGACACAGACATCAAAGTAATATTATTCTCATTAGAATTCGGTCAATATTCTGGTTTAAAGCCGCAGTAGGTATTCATGTTAAGAATAAGTTAAATAAGTGTGAGTTATTTGAAAGGGGTCATTCATGATGACAACACGGCAGCTCTACTGAGCTTTTAGCCTCTTTTAGCTTATTGCTTGGGCTTTTCATGTGACATCTGAAGTGCCAGGTAGTGTCTGTGAGTGGCCAGAGAAGAGGACGCTGTGTAAGTTATATGCCGTCTTGGACAATGTCTCCCACCCACTCCATGGTGAGCTGGTCAAGCACTGAGGTATATTCAGTGCAGGACTCATTCCTCTGAGATGCACCACAGGAAGTCATTGCTGCCTGTGGCCATCAAACTTCTCAACTCCTCCCGCAGAGTGTCAGACTCTGAGTTAAAAGACTGGCCTTTGGACTTGTTTCACCCAGAAGTCACTGTAACCCACAATTGATTTATTATTCATATTTTAACTGTTCAATATTTATGTGTAATATTAAGTTTATTAATAAATTATATGAAAAAAGGGGGAGGACTTGATAAGTATTCACCTCCTCCTTCTCCTTTTCAGACATGAAATACTTATCCTGTTTACTAAATATGTCTGCTGGGTATTCTGGTTTTGCTTTCTAACTTACATCTTTAATTTTCATTTCTTTTGCATGTTCGAAACAAATCTTCATCATCATCAAATATTTCTTTTAAGTAATGTTCTAAGTTATTCCTACTTATACTATTCTTGCATTAATATTTAACAAACTGTGTCACAAATATTTACACATTTTTCCAATTCTATCTATCTATCTATCTATCTATCTATCTATCTATCTATCCTCTAATAATTTCTCTATACCTAAAGAGACAGATTTTTTTGCTTGGGATTTGGTGTAAACCACAACAATGCTGCCCCTAAGTGGCCACCAAAAAAGTGGCTTAAACTTAAAAAAAAGAAAAAAGAAAAAAAGAAATAGGTTTTCAGATTATTACAGTGGCTGTGGAGTTACTGTCCAGACTAATTTGGGACTTGACTCCCTAAAAGCTTTGTATTACACCTGAGGGCAGCACCTTACATCCAGCATCACACACACAGACTGTAAAAATAATGGACATAGCTACCATGACGTCACTCATTGGATTGTGGACTCATTGGATTGTGGACTTGTGTGACCATATTTGGCGAGAGGGTGGAGATGTGGAAGAGCAAGGGGTGGATCTGACTGAGAAGCTAAGGACGCAACGGCAGACAGCCTGTCACTCAAAGCCTCCCGCCCTTAATTACGCGTAACTTTAAGCCTTAATAAAATGTAAAAGGGTAAGTTGTATAAAAAATTACCTCCCCACAATTGCAATCAATGCTGAAATTAGCTAGAGACCAAAACTGTACCAGGCTGTAAACGTGTTTATTTCTGCTGTAAAACTGGGCATTTTAACATGGGGGCCTATGGGAATTGACTCACTTTTGGAGCCAGCCTCAAGTGGCCATTCAGAGAACTGCAATTTTTGACACTTCTGTCATTTTTAAGTCCCAAGTCGTGTCCCTGATGCTTGTTCTTGTCAGCTCACTGTAGGTTGTCTTGTCATTTGTTGGATAAACTAGTAAAACCTTAACCAAAAAGTTGTTTGTTAATGCAACATTTGCCTTAACCCCAAGAAAAAACCTACAGGAGACCTCACACCTAACTGCAACTTCAAACAGAGATGATGTTTCTTCTTTCTGAGATGACTGAGTTACAAAGATACACGTAGATTTTTGCTCCTTGTACTGCTGCGCTGCTGCAGCATAAATAGACTTCCCTGCAGATTTCAAATTACTTTAACCTGACTGCAGCTGAATTCTTAAATTGACCATCATGACATTATAATGATAAATATGTACAACTAAATTGTGCTGAAATATGATATTTAGATGGACTACACTATGTCCAGCAACAAATATCTATTCAGATGGATGAGCTTCTATATTCTGATATCAATGTGGTATCAGGCTTACAAGAAAGGCTATTTATTTCCATGTAAATATAAGACTGATGATTAAGGAAAACATGAATAGTATATTCTGTGTGTAGCGTGTACTCGGTCTAGTTGGCCTAATGTTCCAAGCTTTAGCCCATTCTTTGCCACTCAGTCCAACTTCTCATTTGCATCCATTCATCCATTTTCATCTGCTTATCCGAGGCCGGGTCGCGGGGGCAGCAGGCCAAGCAAAGCACCCCGGACATCCCTCTCCCCAGCAATGCTTTCCAGCTCCTCCTGGGGGACCCCAAGGCATTCCCAGGCCAGATGAGATATGTAATCCCTCCAGCATGTTCTTGGTCTGCCTCTGGGCCTTCTACCAGTGGGACGTACCTGGAACACCTCGAACGGGAGGCACCTAGTAGGCATCCTGATCAGATGCCCGAACCACATTAACTGACCCCTTTTGACACGAAGGAGCAGCGGCTCTACTCTGAGCTCCCTCCAGATGTCTGAACTTACTTACCCTATCTCTAAGGCTGAGCCCAGCCACCCCACTGCAGAAACTCATTTCGGCCGCTTGTATCGGTGATCTCATTCTTTTGGTCACTACCCAGAGCTCATGACCATAGATGAGGGTTGGGACGTAGATGGACCAGTAAATCGAAAGCTTTGCCTTCCGGCTCAGCTCCCTCTTCACCACTTGTTTCGTCATTTGCATCCAGCCAAAATAATTCAGTATTTTTTTGCTGCATTCCTACAAGGTGCACCTTGAACGTGCACTCAAAGCATGGGCTGAGACAGTCATAGAACTCGCCAAAAAATGCATTACTACGTCTTGCAAAACCACGCCCATCCTTGTGAAAAAAAGTTTTTAGGGAGTTCTGGGATAGGACAGAGGCAATAGGAAGAAACATGGTGATAAGGCTGGCAGCTGTTCTTGCCTTCTCTATGGCTCTCTTCTTCGTTGGATCATCCATCCAGTCGTTCTCCTTCTCCAGCATGTCGATGAACGCCCAGCGAACGCCCTGGATCAGTTCCTCCATCTGAAAAAACACACACTCAAATTAATTAGAGAGCGTTTACAAAAAATGAAGCGCCCGGTCTCACCGCCACATAAACACACACACCCGCACTGACGCAAATGACACAACATTAAATGCCTGACATCACCTCCAGGTGACACACAGACAAAATACACTCAACACGAACATCTGTTACACATATACAAAAATAAAACATGTGACCCACGATTTAGGCAATGATGTCATTTTCAGAACACACGCACCATGTGTTTCTTGTCCTCCTGGAAGTGTGTGTTGACAAAGAGGCGCCCGGTGGCATAAACAAGCGAGTTCTCCACGTAGTTAACGCACTTATCCCAACGCGGGGTCAGAGAGGTGGTTCCCGTGGTTACCTGGTGGGGGTGTGAGAGACGGAGATGCAAGGTGACATTGTCTCTCCCTTCACATGGCACTAACTTACACTGTTAGTCTGTCAGCCTCTGAATCATCACTTTGGGTGGGAAATTTTTGGGACTGACATTCAAATATGAAATTATTTCACATATATTATAATTTGTGTTTATGGCAGGCTGTGAAGTAAACTGGGAGCTCCCTCTTAAGTCTTAAAAATAGAAAATTGTGGCACTCAAAATTACATCACTTTCCCAGCTCTCTAATTACTGTCATGAACATTTGGGGACTTTGGGGACAGAGATTGAGAAAAGAGTGTTGGCTTGCTACTTATATTTTTTCAGGATTTTAGGCTTTCCTTTTTATGTATTCATATGAGGCTGAAGCTGTGTCCTGATTTCATACCTTGTACTAATTCCAAGCAAGTTTTGAGTAAGTCACTTCCAATCGGAAAAGTGACAAAGTATACAAACTAACTGCACAGTAAATGACCCTGCAATGAGTGTTTTAAATTTCAAGACTTATTTATTCTCAAAGGCATTTTTATTCTTTATATACACTTGTCTTTGATTTATATAACTATTCGAATGATTTTTATTGTCATATTTGTAACTGTAAAGCACTTTGTAACACTGATTTTGGAGAGTTCTAGGAGTAGAGTTGCAACGGTATGATATTTTCACGGTATAATAACATATCGCGGTTTCACAGTATGACAGAATTTATATCATTAGCAATCAGACTGACCCTTACAGGAATGAAAAACGGAAGGGTTATTGTCAGTTGAACAAACGTTTTATTACTATAACTGAAACTTGAAACCATTATGTTAATGGAAGTATGTGTAAAAAGTCTCCCCTTAGAAAATAACTAAAATAAAGGAGAGACTCTCAGTCCAGTTGCATTTTTTTCCAATATCATAGATAGGCAAATGTTGACAGTATGATAACCATCAACCTTTATGTCATGGTATACCTTAAAACCGGTATATCGCTGCAACCCTATCTATGAGTTCTACTAACTTTCATACAATACACAAAGGAATTGAAGGAACTACTCACAGCTACAAAACAATTAAACAAAATGCAGCATCATTCAAAAATGACACTTTGATATGCTTTGGCCCATATCTTACACTATTAGCAGGGTTCCCACAGTCATGGAATTCCTGGAAAATTATGAAAAAAAAAAGGAAAAAATTTCCAGGCCTGGAAATGGTTTGGCATTGACGGAATGTTTTGGAGAAGTTCTGAATATACATTGTTTGGGTTATCATTTAAAATATGTCAACAAAAAAATCCCAATGCTGTATGTTCCCTGTATTACGGATTTAAAATCTAGTGCTGCACTGCATCACTGCTGAACTGTCACTAGTGTCACGTGATAAACACTGATGTATGCAGCTAATTTGCAGTGAGAGTGTCTAATGAGCGAGTCAATTAGCAAGCGCTTGCAAATTTGCTTACATCAAAATGCCTAAGAAGCACATTTTAGTAATGTATGGCTTACAAATAACAAATACATTAGGCTACATGGCTTGAGAGAGGCAGACTGTAGCCGCCTTTAATGTAGACTCTGCACCAAAACGTCTGACATTGGCAACATGGGGGAAACAGCCACACTAAGGAAAAAGCATCAAGATGATCAAAAGGCGACAACAGACTGCCAGCATCTGCACATATTTCACAGTATTTCTACCATCACAGCATCAGTAGAGCTGTGAGACAGCTTCAACCAGCGCTCAACCAATTTACTGCCACATCCAATGATCTGCCTACTCATTTTAAACTACTTATTTAAAGCCATGGAAATGGGGTAAAATATGATGGTAAAGCATTGAAAATTAATTGGTAAAAATGGGTGGGAATGCTGTTTCAGGTTCAAAACAGCACAAGCAAGCAGGGTTGTAAAAGGATTTTAAAACATACTGACATCACTTGGAAGTTTTTGACGTGACCAAAAAAAAAAAAGAAAAAAAAAAGGGGGCTGTTTTTTTTTTGTTGTTATATATTAAGAAGCAGTTGGATAGCTCATTGTTAAGTTTGGGGGATCAATTCCTGGTCAGGGAAGAGCAACACATATCCAGTCTGGACCCTTAGGCAACGCTCTTAATGCTGCTAGCCACTTTAGGAAACACAAGACAAGAGTCATACCGACTCGGACATCACCCACATCAACAAGGTCCGCGTCAGGGCACCCTGATGAGAAATGGGCTACTAGAACAGGACATAGATGGACTAGAGGAGAGAATATGGAGCTCTTAGAATGCTTCTATACAAGTAACCCCAGTGAGAGGGGCTAGATGAAGAGGGTGTGGGATATATGGATACTTTGAAACCCAACATCTAGGCTGACAAAGCTACAACTCATAACTCAATGTTCGAACATCCACAAATGGTGTGTTATTGCAACTAGAGATTGATAAGGTACAACAAACATGCTATGGCAAGGGGGAACCAGGACAACAGGCCAAAGTGGGGATGTCATCATCATCATCATCATCATCCTCGTACTCTGAGATTGGAAGCCTCAAGCCCTTACTACACAGTTTCCCTTACAACAAGGGCAAATGACCTGAGATGGAAAATCATGGATAAGCTGGAAACCCAGCAACCCCATAGCTAGTCACTAAGGCTAAGTGACAAAGTACCCTCTGAAAGTCTGCTAGATGATGTGAATGCAGTACTACAAACTATCCCCACTAGGACCATAACTGAGACCAATCAGCTGATACAGTATACACTACAGCAACAGTAATCCTAGAGATGCTTGGCTACAAGATGAACACCATGAACCACTAAAAACATTACCCCCCATGAACACGGAGGCTGGAGGCCAAGATCAAAGAAACAGTCAACTCTCAGAGCTACAGAGACGTGTGGGGAAAATATATATATATATACTGACACTTCTAGGAATTGGGTAGAAATGTAGAAAGGTAGTGTGAGATCTGGACACAGCTTCAGTGGTACATTAAAGGCTTGCTTCGAGAGAGTCATTTGTAGTTTGTGCATTTAGAAGAAGTCTAAAGGAAGTCATGAATTAGTCTGACTCTGGGTCAGATGTAGAGTTTGTTAAATGAACTAGGAATTCAGGCCTCTTCCTGTATACACTAAAGCTACATAGGATAATCTAAACCAAATTCCAGTGTTTCACAGCCAAACACTCTCCATACATGTTGTATAATGTGGGATAGCTACAAACCATGTATCTGCAAAAGGTCAACAGACCTACATTTCTACATAATTCAATGGGTTTAAGAGCCCCCCCCCCCCCCCAAACCCATTTCATTCTCCAGTTAATCTAATCACTTAAAAAATAATTGAATACGGACATGTATTTTGTAGATTTTTTTCAGTACAAACCCGAGCAAAATCCAGGTATCTGTAAAGAAAACGCCGGCTCAGAGTAGTGATCCTGGAAAAAACTGTCCTCCACTGTACGTAGTTAGCGACAGTCCTGGAAAGAGAGAGAGAAGGAGAGGAGGGACATTAATTAAAAACCTACATGTAATCTCATTATACATTATAATATACTTATAATGAGAGACAGGAGCCCTCAAGCCCCACTGTGTGCTCATCTGTCTGTGTGTGTTCTCTGTCTGGCTGTTCCCGTGTGGTGTGTGTGTGTGTGTGTGTGTGTGTGTGTGTGTGTGTGTACCTGGGATCTGTGGTGTTAATGAGCTTGAAAAGTTCCTTGAAGTACTGCGGCGCTCGGACGATGACGTTCTCAGAGGAAGAGACAGACCGAGCTGGGTCAGCTTTAGACTCCACCACAGTTTTTACAAAACTCAGCCAATCAAACTGCAGACAGAAGCAGTGATAGGGGTTATTATAAATAATTTTAAAGACACTGAGGTGAAAACAAGCTATATTGGGATATAATTCACTTTATTTGCTGTCAGTTTTTTAAATAAGTGTTTATATCTCTTCTTAAAAGTGTGTACATATAATTTATGACATGATAAATACAAATACATGGTATTCTATTGATCCATACTTGGAGGAAGATCTTATTTATAATGTTATGATGTTTAAATGATTTGTGCAGGATGAATAAAGACTTCTGGCTGCTTGTCTTACACCAGGGATACTAAAATTGCTTTACCTCGGGGCCACTTTTGCAAAATGACAGGGGACCAGGGGCCAGTTCATAAACAAACATTAATAATATTTATCAGTAAAAAATGAACTGCTTGTTTTCAATCTGTCAATGTTTGCTGTCCTCATTAATCTTTGCCAAGAGGCAAATCCAGTCGCAGTAGGCCTGCAGGTCAGGTGTACAGTACACAGGAGTGTTTCTAGGATTTGAGAACATTCTGGGTGTAGCCTGAGACTCTGTCTGAAGGATCCTCCCTTGGCATTTTTTTCTTTGATAATAACGAATAATGATTTTTTTCATGCAGTGTGGAGCCTTTTTTACATTCAAAAGACAAAAAAATACCACAGTGTGAATCAATCTATCTTCACTGTGAATTTGAAAATGGTTGGCGGGCCACCTGGCACCCTATCCTGGACCAGATTTGGCCAGTAGGCCACAATTTGAGAATAAGTGTCTTCCACCCTAAAGTAGGGGTGATCAAAGTTTAGGTAAGTGCCAATTTACAGAGCCAGCATATCATCCAGGGCCACACAGGTTCAGGACAAACCATGGCGGCCAGTTTCACGAAGCATCCCTACACAAACTCTCCATCACTGAACTGTCTACCAGACTTAGCAATTTTGTGAACGACTGTACCACAGAGTTTGTCTATGTTACACAGTCATTACTTTTCACACGATCTGTGAGGACTGACTGCTGGGCAGATACGTCTCGGAACTGTTCAACCTTATGTTTGGTCTCGATCAAACTGTTCAGCGTTACATTTGGGGCCTTCACTCATAAACTTGTTGCAGGATTTGTGGTTGGTCTCATAATGGTGTTTAACATAAAATTCCTTGAGCACCAAATTCACCTGTATGAAGTTGTATCCCTTTATTTGTCCCCTGAGGTCTGCTGAAGTAAGAGTTCATCCATTTTTCCTGAAACCTCCTTTTCTCCTCAGCCATACAGTGTATTTCCGGGTGGCTTTTCCATTTCATTTCCACACAGACTGCCAAGTTGTCAACTGAAATTGCTAATTCTAGCTAACAGAATTAGCACTGATGAATGAACGTGAGGTGCCATGAGTTGCCAAGCATCGAGTAGCTGTCTACGAGTTGTCACCCCTAATGTGACAGATGTTTGTCAGGGACGTGCAGTTTGCTGCAATAGTTGAGTGTATTACTGTAAATGCAAGATATTGAAAATAAAAGTATTACAATTGGCTGCAGATGTGTAAAATAAAATGCATGCAACTCATGTCACGTTTGGACCCAGCACAGAATGTCTCTGAGGGGGCACACTTCGAGCGACTACGCTCTCATGGCTTTTTCACACCAGATTTTTTTTTTTTAAATGAGGTTGGTTATTCTGATCCCTCACCCTGCCATTAAAGGCATAAACAAATAGTGTGGTGTGGAACGGACATCATGTCACAACATCATGACAATTTTGCAACTATCGCAAATTTTGCATCAGTGCCAGCCAAGTATAGAGTGTCTTTTATTCGTCACACCTAGAAATATGCAAAATAAACCATGAAGAAGCTGGTCACAGTATGGTTTTGAGACACAAGGGAGGATCTTAATTAATTTTAATTTTTTAAAATGTAGTTGAAATTGTCTGTACCTGTGGTATGGTGCGCTGCAGGCGAGAGAGTGAGTATCTGTTGTACATGTTCTCACTGGTGCGGTTTTCATAGGGAATCAGGATCTGCAGACACAATGAACAGTCTTATTAACACATGACTGATTCTAAATTCCATCATAAAATAATTTCCTTTTAAGTTGATGAATCAATTTCATATTTCACAGTTAATAATGCAGGGTTATAATTAGCTCCAGAGTCATTCGGGCCTATCAAATCATCTCCTTTTCCATACATTCAGTGAAGTTATATATATCTGACATGACGTCTTTACATGAGCAAGTTTGGTCTCGAAGGCGAGAGCCTTCTCCATCTGGGTCAGTGCTGCTTTCTCTGGAGCACCCAGCATGACGGCTGTATCTACCATAAAACTGAGCAGGGCTGCACGATACTGGAGAGAGGGAGAGAGAGAGAGAGAGAGAGAGAGAGAGAAAAAGAGAGGCAGAAAAAGGCAGAAAAAGGCAAAAACAGACAAATGTCATTTGATCTTTCATCGCTGTAAGCTACTGTCACTACAACTATCAAACATCAGACACCATCAGACATCAATCAACACTTCCATCTGCACTCAGATACTATATTACCACTACATCAGTGTTATGTTTTTATTACCTGTTTTAAGGGGACAGATAAACAGCTGCAGACAACACTCATTAAATAATACCATTACCATTTAAAGCTATAGCTAAGTTTAAAAGCCTGTGTCCAAATAGGGGAGGAATATATGTACTGTTAAGATAAAGCTATCATGAAAATGCATTTAAAAATAAACAAAATAAAATACAGACATATTTAACAATGATGATGAACATTTAATCATATAGTACTTTTCAAAACAGATGTTACAAAGTGCTTCACAAAACAATAAAAGCAATAAATGAAAGAGTAAAAAAGTAACTGTTAAAACAGAACATACCAATAACAATAAAATATTAAAACTGAGTGATAAAACAAGGTGTTGCAAAAACAGATATGAATTCATATATGTCTATGAATATATGCACAGATAAACCAAGTGCAAAAATAATGACACCCATTGTAATGTATTCATATATATGGATGTAGGTACATCTGTATGCCAGCATGAATGAACATATATATGTACTTAGAAATATTATTTGTAGTGACTTTTAAGAAAATGTCTAAACAAGCCACTGAGGGGTGTACAGGTGGCAATCCATTATTCTCAATACAATATACACGTGCTCACCATAACATAGAAGAACAACAGCATTGTTCATATTTAATCAATAATACATTTAACAACTTCAGTCTTCCATGCAGATACTTCATGCTTACACAACATGCTTCCATAACACGGTCAAAACCTTTCTACACACCTGATTTCCACTACCTGGAGCTCACCTGTATGCACTTCACACATGAATGCTCCACCCTGTGTTCAGTTTCATAACTACATGTGTACATTTATATTTACCTTGTGTTTAGATAAGGATAAAATAAACAAACAAAACTACATTATAGGTCCAACGATATTCATACATGTGTATATATGTATGTATGTATGTGTATACTTTATGAAGGAATAGCTTTCTCTTTCTTTCTTTCTTTTTCAGTCTTTCTGTTTGTATCACCAGATGTATAAAATAATAATAATAATCACAATAATTGCAAATACATGTAAATATATGGGATGTGTTTTGGTTGCGCTGATTCATAAATTCATTGCAATAACTATAAAAAGGCAATACAACAAAAAAGTAAGTAAGTAATGGAAATTTATAGATGGCATATGAATGCCATCTATAAATTGCCGAGAATATGCTTAGCTATTAAACAATGACACAGGTTGATATGTGGATTTTGAACACATATCAGGAGCCCTTATATCTACTATTAGCCTTTTTTATCACTTATTTTTCATTGCAAAATCGGCAAATAAAAAGAGACAACCAATTGCTGATTACCTGCTTGTTTAGTGTTTGCTCCCCTTTGTAACCTAAATTAAAGTCTGTCCTCTGACTTTATGTAGACCTTTGTATGTGGGTGAAGAATGTATTATACCACCGATAGTGACAGTGTACTAATAGAATGACAGTGGGAGTTTTTCCAGTTGAGAAAAATTAGTCGCCGCATACTAATTGCATTTTTATTCTGGCCTAATGAGGCAGCTATTAGTGGAGCAATCAGTATCATCTGCCTCTTCTACAATTACAACTGCTTCGCATTTCCGAAAATGTTGACTGTGACAAAAAGCTCTTGTTCCAATATAATATAATATAATATAATATAATATAATATGATATAATATAATATAAAAACCCAACATTAACTGCCATAATGTCAAGTGGCTAAAAAAATTTTCTGCTATAAGTCATCACTCAAGCAGGGAGGAAATAGCTGCTGCAGGAAGAGGAGTTTTTAGATGACAGGTTAAAAAGGGGTGAAAGATGAAGCAGAGACTCACCGCCCGGGCGGAGGAAGTGTTGGTGATGTAGTCCTCCCTGGAGGGCAGAGACAAGGACGCCTGATCGAGCTGCATGAAGATGGAGAGCAGAGGTTAGCTTCTGCTGCTTTTTGGGGTTGTTTATCTTTTGACTTTGGCTGCAGTGACAAAAAGCAAAATGTGACGGAACAAAGCACCAAAATTGTATCTGCCTACACGTCAATGCTAGAGGTTTTACATCTTTTAAATATAAACTGTGTAGATATGACATTAGAGATTACTTTCCCCAAATACCCTTCAGGCAAGCATTACATTACATTCTTTTCACTATGGTATGAATATCAGTAATCCATCATAGTCCAAGTTACTGTTTTGAAACCCTTTCAATGTCTATGAAGGCTATGACATATTTTATCTGAGTTAGTATCAACTCGTACAAGAGTAGACATGGCTAGTTTCCGATTTGAATAGTAGTTGTGTAGTAGAAAGAAAAAAAACAATGCTTAATGAAAAACAAAAGACAACTTGAGTGTTTGTAACCAAAGAACAAAACGGATTTGCAAACCCACATCAATGAGATTTGTAATAGATGTTTTGGTAATGAAGGTGTGAACAGGGAGGTGTGAAAACTCTTTTTGATGGCACTATCAAGTTCACTCCGAAATTCTAAACTCATCAGGAACAAAGCTTTTAATCATGTGATATGCTCAAGGCTGATGTTCAGCAGCTGACTTTCAAATTTCAGCTACCTTGATAGAGAAGTTTCTAAGAGAGTCCCTGCTGGAAATTGCATTATCGTACAATTTAAATGTAACTGACAAAAATCAAGGTGGCGAAATATTTGCTGTGATGGATCACGTCCTGTAGTGCAACATTTGTCAGGTCTCTGCAAGTCAAATTTCAAACTGAGCTGGCAAACAAATGGCTACCTGGAAGGTAAGAAATCAATCAAAAAAGATGGGCTGTGTCTGAAATCACTCATTTCTCACTACACAGTCCACCATAGGGTGACTGCGCCATTTTGTAGTGCTGTCCGAAAGTAGAGTGGGAATTATTATACCCTATATAGTGAACTCAAAGGAACAGATGGACTTTTTGGATGGACAAAGAGAAGGACAAGAGGAGAGAAAGCAGCTTGACTACAAGCTGTTGTACATGTTTAACAGTTTCTTAGCCATGTCATACATTGTCAATTTAATGTGTAGTCATCAGTCCTATAAGAGATTTTTAAAATATTGGACATTAATATTTCTCTGGTGTCCAACATTACTGTACAGAGAGGGGCTAACGCTAGCTGACGTTAGCAAGCTGGGATGCTACTAGCCCTGATTTGTGTCGCACTGGCTTAAAGTATACATTAGTGGGAGAGTTTGAAATCACGCTGCTCTCTTTCCTCTTTTCTGCCTGCCCCTGTAACGTTATTAATGGGCCTATATTTAATGTGAGCAGAGCAGCACATCAAAACACAGTACTTTGTAACATTATTTATAAACTTGGGGTAAATCCACTCACTATAATGTCATGTATTTATCACAAATATGCATGCCAGTGTTTGTTATAGATGGTTCACCAGCCGACGTTGAAATGGCACGTTTAATTGTTTAATTGGATAGAAATGAAGTAACTGATATTAATGGACCAGAGAAAATTACCCAGGTAGTGTCTGAAAGTGTTTATCATGTTGCAAATGAGCTCACGATATAGTCCTCTACATAGAACCCACAGGGAGTATGAATGACTGGATGATTTCGAACACAGCCATGGTATGTTTTTGGATAATGGTCTGCAGCAATATAAAAGTATTCACCATATGCACTTGATTGATTAAAATCCACAAACCACAAGTATTGTCCTTAAAAGGAAAAGTTCCATATTTGGGGGAATATGCTTTTGCACATTTTTGTCGAGACTTTGATGTAATAACACACTCATATTCACATTGTTAAATATGAAGCTACAGCCAGCAGATGCTTTCGTTAGCTTATGACATACAGTAAAGACTTGAAACAGGGGGAAGAGCCAGCCTGGCTCTGTCCAAAGATAACAAAATCTGCCTACAAGCACTTTAGAATCTCACTAATACCCCTTTTCCACCAAAATTTTGAGATTTGTTTTAAACATGCAAACACTCACTAAAAATAGGTGATAGACCCCTTTCCCATTGCCAGTAGCCCAGAGGTCGGTTACACGGCTTTGCAGTAGACAAGTATGCCTTTCTGTTTTGATTTTTTTCTGGTGTGTTATGTTTAATGTCTCATACAGAAAACAGGTTGGTAAACAGTAGAAAGCAGCATGGGGGCTAGTGAAAATCTTACAGTGGTTACTTCTTTCTTATGTTTCTTACTTATTCAGTCTCCTTTTCAAACTCAGCACTCAGAATGTACGAGTGCTGCTTGGGTGGAAATAGAGAGGTGCCGTAGCATTGTTCCGACCTCTCATTGTTCCGACCGCTCATTAGTCCGACGTTCCGTTGTTCCAATATGTGATTATACTAGGCTATACTGTATTTGTGTACCATAGAGGATCAGCAACGCAACAAAAGTAGGCTACTGGTCGAGATACAAGTGCCACAGAGAGAAGAGAGTGAAACACCATAACCTCCTGTTATTAACTCTGGGGTCCGGGTTGTGTGGGGAGCTCTCCATGGTGCTGAACGGCTCCTGGCGGGCGTATTTCTGCCTTGATGGTGCGCCGCGACCGGCTCTGGGTCAGCTGGGAAAGTCTTGAGGTGAAGCAGGCTCACGGCTTATGTGTTTGTCACTTTCTTTTTCATTTTAACCCACACCATGATCTTTTCCTAACCCTAACTAAGTGGTTTTTGTGCCCAAACCTAACCAGACCTTAACCACAGGGGATCATGATGATTTCGAAACAACGGGACTTCGGAACAATGGGTTTAATATGGTCGGAACAATGGGATGTCGGACCAATGGGCAGACCCCAATGAGAGACTGTTTCATGGTGGCCTGACATTGCATTGGGCCGGTAAAAGGGGCTAAATTTAGCACATCCACATGGGCGTTATATTTCCATGTGCCTATCAGAGCCAATCAGAGCTGGAGCCAATAAATACCCATGACTACAACAGAATCATTTGACTCAAATGTGAATGTCGATTGTAATCTTTCCCATCAAATAAAAATGCCAGATGTTAGCTGGTGTTAGTTGGGCTTTTTTTGTTTACTTTTTGTACAGTGGAAAAGAGGCGTAATTAACACACTGTATAACTTAATCGTTCAATTCAATTCGTTCAAAAACTGGGGTGTAAAAAAGACAACCTGTGGCGTTGGACAAATAAGCATTTTTTCCAAATGCATGCATCAAGTGAACTGTGGATGTCTGACCTTGATGATGTAGTGCAAGGAGTTTTTGTCATCGGGAGAGACGTACAGGCGAATCAGGACACTCTTACTGTGCTGGTTCCTCATTTCTGCCAGGGTCTTCAGGAGGTTCCACTCGCCTGCTGACCACTGGTACTCCCCGCCGAGCCCATCCCCCACAACAGGCCACCGAAACTCAGGCTGTCTAAGTGTTTTCAGCATTGGTTTGGTGTCCATCTGCTCCAGTATAGCTATGTAAGCAAACACAGAAATTAAGAAATTAGCATGAAGTACAGCATTTTGTTTGAATGGTTGCTTTTACTACTTTTCAGGTTGTATTTTTTGTATTTAGATGCTATTTTCCCTTTTTGTCATCTGTTGTATCTTATTGCTTTTGCCTCTGCAGTGACCTAGATCTGCCATGGAAATCAATAAAAGCTCATCTTGTCCTGTTTCACACTATCGCTGTGTCTTTGTGTGTGCTCTTGACTTACAGTATCTTTGTGGGGACCTGTTTGTAGACATGGAGAATGGGGACATTTTGATTGTGAGGACATTTTGGTTTGTCCTCACTTGTTCAAAGAGCTGTGACTTTAGATTTGGTTTGAGCATTAAGGTTGAACATATGTTTAGATTTCAGTTAGGTTAAGTGTTGGGAGTCAGGCATATAGTTTGAAAAGTTAAGGCTGGTAAACAATAGTCCCCACAGTGCTATACAAACGTATCTGTGTGTGTCCAGTTTTATTACTCACACCCTGGGGATAAATAAAAAAGTCACACATTATAGGGCCTCAGTTCCCATTTAAGGTTATGGTTGGGTTAAGGTTAGGATAACGGTATGAGCTGGTGTTAGGCATCTAATGGATATGGTCACAGTTAGGTTTAGTTCCCAAAGAATGACTGCAGGTCAATGCAATGTCCTCTTAACTGACAAAACCAAGTTTGTTTGTGTGTGTGTGTGTGTAAGACTCACTCTCATTCATACAGGAGCGGTATAAGACCTTAGCCTTGGTTACAGCTTCCAGTTCATCAGGGTCTGAAGGAGCTTCCAGTAACTCTAAGGGAGAAAAACAATCTATGTCATAACTCAGAGGTCTAACAGTGAACAGTACCTGAATTCAACTTATACTATATACTGTATCTGGCAATAGGAATATAACACCTGGTTGTGAAATAAAATGGACACAAGGTCAGTCTTGCCTTTTGAGTAAGTGATGTGTACACCAAAAGATCTCTTGCTTTCTTTTGATTGTTAAACATTAAACATTCTGTTTAATTCACATGTACTTGTAACAGGGTAGATAAACTCAGTCGTTGATGGGAAATTTGTAAGCCAACACACCTTTGAGTCGAATGTCTACATGCTGCCGCAGCCAGGGGTAGATGCCATACGATGAGGAATCTTCCGGGATGGGGTTCTCCTTTAACCAGCCGCCACAGGAGTAAGTATAGAAATCCTCACAGGGGTTAATAGACTTATCCATTTTGTTAAGAATGGAACCCGCTACAAGAAGGAAGGTGACAGAAAAAAAAACACACCCCAGTGAGCCCAAATAATTCCCTTTGAGTTGCAACTAAAATATCTCATGCTCAACCAGTCACCATACAAACAATAGTGGATGCTCAGAGCAATTGTACATAGAGTAACTGCTCAGCACCACTCCTCACCTGCTTCAATGCATTCTGGGGTCAGACAGAATTCCTCCTGACTAGATTTCTGTGAGACTGAGGGAAAAGAAAAGAGGATGAAGTTTGACACTGAAATGCAAACTCACACTTAGACATAACGAGTTTTTAACATTTCAAGAACATTTAGCTTGCATGCATGTTCTTTTGCAGCACTGACCCACTTCATATCTTTATACAAAAAGTCCTCTACTTCTTGGTAGCAAATGATTGGTGTTGGGATGTTGTTTTGCTCAATAGGACCTCAAACAGAGTTTTAGAGCACACTTTTATATAAACAATAAATTATCTGAAAGTTATGCATGTGTAGAGCTGAGAAACCAGGGAAACACGCTGTGTAGGTCAACATGTTTTTGCCAGTTGACTTATTTCTGGCTTTCTCTGCCAATGTGAATTCTGACAAGTGTGCAAGCTTTTGATAAAGACCATGGGATGCAGTTAGAAGCCCAGGAAAAAAGTGAGAAGGTGGCCACCTTGACCTTATTTTCCCATGTGACTCAAGGAAACAGTAATGTCAAAATCGATTAATGTCACCTTCAACGTACAACTATAACTGCTTGTTTTTGCTATGAAAGGTTTCAGATTATTATTGTAAGTGTCTTTTTGTTTAACCATAAACAGCCCGTAAATTGTTACCATCAAAGTCACCAAATGACATTTAAATTAACAGTAATTTTATCATTGTTAAAATCACTTTGTTCAAAGTCAGCAGAAACACCATAAAACTCCTTCAAGCCAGCTTGGTTCATCTTTCCACTGTTCAAACAATCAGCAATTCTGGTTTGGTTGAAATAAAACCTTAATTGACCTAGTCAGAAGTAAAAATATGCAGCTCTATACACTCTAGCATTACTTTATTTAAATGGTTTGACAATGGCAATTTTGGGGCTGTTTTTGATGAAACAAAATTGATATTACGCTTTAACATAAAGGTCTATCTCATCAGGGATCCTTTCCATAATGTTGTCAGATACCTAAAATAACAATCTGAGCTTGTCAGTGGCAAAAACAAGCCCTTTTAGTGAACGTATTGATGGTGGGAACATGACTGGAATGGTTACATTGCAGCTCTCTTGCTCAATACTTGACCAGTTTAAAAAACTGTTGTTCCGATCAGACACTTTGACCAAAAAAAAAAAAAAAAAAAAAGTGGAAAAATAGGGTCCAGGTCAAAAATTCCGAAGTTAAACTTGAGGACTGTTTTGTCAAAATGATGGCTTTTTTATGAACAATAGTTATACATGGAAATAGTAATATGGAAACAAAACAGTATTTCTTATTCTTGGAAATGCTGCAACACAAGTTAATTTCTATCTGTCATTGTAATACAAACTATCGATGAATGAAACAAACAGAACTGACAATAGCAACTAATCATACTTTCATACGGCTGAAAATGATACTGGTTATCAGAGGGACGTCATTAAGGGACATTCCCACAATGTACTCTTTATCAAAAATGGGACAAACACTGGTCAAAGTGCAGTTTATACAGCTGGACAGCAGTCCGACAGAGTAAATATTTAGTGGATAAAATTTTTAACCTCATGCCTGCCTGCATCAAGTTGAGTCGACCTGCAATCGCCACATTACTTTAGCTGTGTGATATACAGCCATGCCATGAATCACAGGCAAATCTTGAGTACTTTCCAAAATATGCATCAGGCTTTTAATTTAAACTTGACTGTCAGCTGTAATTACTTCACACACTTCTAGTAAGGGCAATCAAAATGCCACAGTAAGACAGGATAGAGCCACCCATTGTTTACACTACTCGCACCCATTCACTTCCCTTCCTAGAAGGTGAACGAAAGCCTGCTTCTCTGACCTCTTGGCAGAAACCATTGTTAAATGATGTGTCTCTGTGGGTGAACAGAAGCAGCACAAGCCCGTGAAGTGAGCCGCCAGATTTAGAAAACCAAATCCCCATTGTGAACGCATGAGTGGAGTGTTATGGAGCTGCGCCACAATGTCTGACCTCGGAGGTTGACTGGTCTTGCTGTCTAGTTAGAGCTGCTTGTGAGAGTTGCTTAATGTTGCACCCACTTTAGAGTAGAAACACACAGTCACAACTTAAACCCTGCGCGACCCACTTGGCCTGGAACAACCTCAACAACCCTCCCCCCTGACCGCTCCGTCAGAAACATATACACAGGGGTTTAGACACACACACAGATGTCTGAGGCTCCAGGGTCACTGCTAATACCAACCTCATGTTCATTGCTGAGACACTTAACAGGCCCCACAACACAAACACACATGTACCCAAACACACATTGAAGGGAAAACTCATTAAAAAGTCTAAACTCATTAAAAAGTCAAAAATTAAACAACCACTTGGCATTCCTGTGTCTGGTCATTCGCATGACTGCAGACCAGAGGAAGGTTTCCATTAGAGTGGGTGTGTGGTACTGCATACATAGGAACATAACATAATTACACTTCAATGCCACCACAAGAATGTTGGCTTCCCTCAATAACAAAAAACAATACTCATCCCACCCCAGAAACACACACACAGACACAAATCCCTCCCAGCCATGACCATCCTCACTACCACTACTGAAACTACTGAACAAATGACTCTTAAAGGAATAGTTCCACCTTTTGGGAAAATAGGCTTATTTGCTTTCTTGCAGAAAGTTAGATGAGAAGATTGATACCACATTAATATCTGTCAGTTAAATATGATGCTACAGCCAGGCCCCAGTTAATCTCTGTAAACAGATATCTGCATAATGTAGATCTGCAGGCAATGAGACAAGATTTTAGTGTTGGAAACCAGAATGCTTCCAGTGTAGTCCAAGTAGTACTGACGAATCACATGTGAGCAGCAGTTAAACAGTCTGTGTGGAGAGGCGTAACTCATTAACTGAAATGCAATCTTGGAATCCATCTGTTATTGTTTGACAACGACTTAGTTTTAGATTAGCTTTTTTCATTTAGCTGCATTCATATGCAGATATCTGTTTATAGAGATTAGCCGAAATGACCAGCACACAGAGTCTGTGTGCTGTCAAAGTCTTGGCCCGGTTATCTGCTTGCTACAACAGATCTTCCAAAATACTGACCATTGCACCAGAGACTTAACGTCATCAGACTGATGGCCAATGGATATCAAGACTAGGAGCCGATTAGCATAGCTTAGCACATAGACTGGAAAGTAGTGGAAACAGCTAGCCTGGCTTTGCCTAAAGGTAAAAAAAAATCTGCCTACAAGCACCTCTGAAGCTCACTTATTAAATCTGTTGCATCATGTTTGATACTTGACTTGATATTTTTATACTACAATTTTTATGCAGATTAAACAAATCATTATTACCATGATAATTTGTGAGTTTTAAAGGTGCTAGTAAGTGTGTTTTCATGCTAAAATAAGCTAATCTCTACTGACTGTGGCTTCGTGTTTTAAGTACAGATAACTTTCTTTATAGTCAAATGAATAATTTGTGGGGTATTTTTTTATTCAAACTTTTAAGGAAGTTCAAAAAGTTACAAAAATTGTTAAGTTTGCACTTTCTAACTTCAGATTCATCTGCAAAATTAAACATGCATGTCAGTTTTCTGTCACTGCTGTGGCTAGTGCTCCACAAGTTGGTTTTGTTACAGAATTTCAAGCTTTTATATTTGGATTGGTGTCTAATATTTAAGATGAGGGCTTAAACTGGTGGGTATACAAGCCATGTGGCAAAAACAGATCCAGCGAGATTCTGTTCTTCTCCTTTGAGCCAGTTCACTAAAAAGCTCATGAAGAGCGACTCTACTAAAACAAGGGAAAGATACTCCTGCCGTTATTTACTGTTTGTACTTATTCCATCAACGATAATGCACTTTAATTGGTATATAATCCACATAATTCTGAGCCAGGAGGCTGTGATCATGTGAAAAAAGGTGCTGCAGGCTATCTTCCATCATATGAGGCGAGCAGGTCAGGAAGTCAGGTAATGTAGTATAAAGAGTGACAAAAGTCTGCGTAGGGAGGAGAATGAGGTAGTAGATGGGTCAAACAAACATAGGACTCCAACCCAGGACATGGGGTCATGTCCTTGCAAAAGTTGAGTTGTTTTAAACTACGTATATCACGATATGTCAAGTATGGAACATGATAACGCCCAACCATGACTCTTTATAAGCCTAATAACTAACCGTGTGCTAATTTGTAAGATTTTATACGGACTGTGTGCATAGCTTTTTGTAAGAAAACATACAAACTGTTGTATGTGGATGTGTTGCTAGAATTGAATGCATTGGTCCATTCACATGCAGAAAGATGGACAAATCAGTCTTTTCTCTAAAAGCAGGAAACATCTGGTAGTCTCAACTATGGAAATAAGGAACTGCCCCGCAAAGAGCACATTTAAAATCAAACTTCAAGTATGATTAAATCTGAGTTTCCTTCTATATTGTCTTTTGTCTTAAAGCTTTATATGTCTCATGTAAAGATGTTGTTGAAAGCTGCATTACCAACTTGTCTTGCCTTGCCTACAGTAAGTTCATCAGGTCAAAATATTGCAACACTTTAATTTTCCTCTTATTCTTATCATTACAGTGTTACATGTAACAATATCTTAATGGGCCTGTTTTTAGTCAGACTACAGGTGCAAATCACTCCTGACACATCCATATTGAAGTTCTTTTTAAAACAGTGTTAATTAATGTGCGCTGCCCCCTGTAAATAAAGAAACATATACACACACCCTACCCATTAATCTGCCACGTTTCCCTGCTAATTAATTTCACATTCTGCAGGAGATTCCCACAAAGTGTCAACATACACATTCTTTCCCCCTTTTCCCAGAATTCAACTTGACTCCCAGAGTGCACTATGGAGAGTGCAAGGTTCTGCATGTGCATGTGGGCGTGTATGAAACCTTATATGAACCAAAAATAGTTTGACATGAGTTACCCGCAAGCCCTCCACAAAGACCTTTGCTCCCACCGGCTTGCTTGCGTATGTTATTTACAGTCTGCATGTACTATAATCTGAGGAGAGCATGTGATACATTTCCACTGAATTCCTTACAAATTATAATGCAGGTTCAGTAAAACTGTGTGTGTGTGTGTGTGTGGGGTGGACTTACCCAGTATGAGTGCAAGCAGCAGAGCGGCACAGAGACACACACACATGGCCAGTGCTATCTTGTAGAGACGACTGTTGCCCCTCTCAGGTTTAACCCCGCCGCCACCTAAACGCTCCAGTTCCATGACTAGCCGTACTATATATCACACACACACATAGAAACACACATTCACACAGTCTTTAAAAACGTAACGTTCAGGTGGACAAGCAGTGAGAAGATAAATTGTGAAAAACACCACCAAAACACACCAGAAAAATAAAAATATCTGTAACAAGAAAAGGTTTAGGGTGAAAATTAAATTCAAACAGCTATTGTAATATCTTCCTAAAATTACACAATTGCTCTATTTGCTCTGGTCTCTTTCTCAATTTAACAGACTTCATTCACTCTCCCAGTCTCTCTGCTGCTATGTGTCTATCTGTTACTACTCTAACTTCACTCCAGCTCTTCAAACTGTTCCTCCCTCCATCACTCCTCCTCCCCCCCAACACTCCTCCCATCCCTCCCTCCCTGCGGGACAGAAGGGACCAGGCTTCCCAGTGATGACCAGAGACCATTTAATACAATCAAACCTGACATATTATCTGTTACTGTGCAGCATTTGAGGCCGCAGACCTTGTTAATAGCCTAAGCACACATGTGAAATGTGTGTGTGTGTGCGTGTGTGTCTAACCTCATGTACAATACGTTTATCAGATCAGACAGTCAGTGGACCAGAACAAAATTAGACTCACACAGGACACTGATTACAATCGATTAATCTGATGATGATGATGATGACACGGCCGCCTATAAAAACACATCAGCGTTTGTTTCAGACAGCATCGATAGTTTCTTTGAATAGACAGAGGTGGTGATGACAATGACACCACAGCTCCTGATTGGTCCCTCGACTTCCCTCCTGCTGTGGTGAGAAACTCTTTCCTCACGTGCTCATTAAAGTTTGGGGCGTCAGCCACAAAGTCCTTATATAGACGCAACTTCCTGCGCTGCTTAAAACACCCATTCATCAAGCAGACACTTCAACCACAGTGCTATTGTTCACTATTGTGACTCACAATCACTTGTGGCCTGTTTATATTCTTATTGTTTAACAGCTCAACTGGGAAACTTTGTTCCAAATTTGATTGTCTCCTTCAGTCCACCACTTTGGTCCAGACTGTTATATCTTAACAACTGTTGGGTGGATTGCCGTGAAATTCTGTACAGACGTCCATGATCTCCAGTGGATGTTTCCTACTGACTTTGGCAATCTCCTGAATTTTTCTCTAGCATCACCATGAGGTTGATATTTTTGTTTTCCATTGAAATATCTTGACAACTATTGGATAGATTGCCATGAAATATTTGCTATAAACATTCATAATCCCCAGAGGATGAATCATATTGACTTTCATGATCTTCTGACTTTTCCTTTAGTGTCCCCAGCACGTCAAAATTATATTATATTCCATAAAAGATCTCAAAATGTAGTACATGGATTGGCTCAAACATTTTGAACTTATATTCATGGTTACCAAATGACGTTTGACTTCTAATGCAAGACTTTATACAGACATTCATATTTCCCAGAGGATAACTCTTGCTGATGTTGGTGACCTTCTTGATTTTTTTGTCTAACACCACAATGACATTGACATTTTTTGTTATTCATTGAAATATCTCAGCAACTATTGAATGGACTGCCATGAAACTTTGTAGAGAAACTCTTGATCCCCAGAGGGTGATTCCCACTGACTTTAGTGATTTCTTGACTTTTCTGCTCGTGTCACCAGCCGGTCAAAGTTATCACTTATTCAGTAAAATATCTCAACTACACAGATTGGTTCAAAATTTTACAATAATTTTCATGGTTCCCAGATGACAAATTATATGACTTCTAATGTATAATTTTCCCATGTTTCCTAAGGGATAAATAGAACTTGCTTGAATACAACTAACTTTGGTGATCCCCTGACTTTTTCTCTGGTGCCACCATGAGGTTGACATTTCTGTTTTTTATTGATATATCTTGACATTTATTGGATAGATTGCTATGAATTTTTTTAACAGACATTCATTATCCCCAGTGGATGAATCATTGTGAGTGAGTGATCTCCTTACTTTTCTTCTTGCACCACCAGAAGGTCAGAGTTATCACTTATTCAGTGAAATATCTCAATGTCAACTGCATGGAATTGCTCAAAATTTCTAACAAAATTTCATACAGGCAATTATGTTTCCCAGCGGATAAATCCTGCTAAACTTGAGGGTGGCTGTTTTTTTTATTGAAATTCCTCAACAACTATTGAATGGGTTGCCATAAATTTGCTATAGATATTTGTCTTCCCCATAGGATGAATCAAATTGACGTAAGTGATCTCCTGACCCTTCCTCTAGCACCAGCATATCTCAACATCTCCAACATGGAGTAGCTCGAAATTTTGTATAGACATTCATGTTCTCCAGAGGATGAATCTTATGGACTTGGTGATCGACTTTTTTCTCTAGTGCCACCAGCAGGTCACAGTGAAATATCTCAAAGTCAACTACATGGATTGGCCTAAAATATCTGTACTTTCATTTATGGTTCCCAGAGAATGTATTCTGGCAATTTTTTTCTAGGTTGACATTTTTTGTTTGCAAAGAAATGTCTAGATGACACTGAAATGAAATGCCATGCCATTTTGAAAAGACATTCATGTTTTCCAAAGGTTAAGTTTTGACTTTGGTGATACCCTTACTTTTCCTTTAGCACCATCATGAAGCTCACTTATTTTTTCTTTAATTGGAATATTAAGCAATCAATATCTATCAATAACAACTATGAAATGGATTGCCATTAAATAGGCTATAAACATTCATGGTCCTCAACTTTGTGCCTCTGACCTTTCATCTACTGCCATCATAGGGTCAAAAACTTTGGTTTGTAACCAAATACTTGTACAACTACTGATATTCAGTTGCATGCTGTATTTAGTGCTAATAAGCACATTTTAGCATGGTAACATTCTAAAATAAGAAGGTAAACATGGTTAACATTACACCTGCTAAACATAAACATGCTAACATTGTCATCATGGGCATGTTATTATGCTTATGTGACCATTTAGCTCAAAGCTTAAGCCACAGAGTCAATAGCACGTCTGCAGACTCTTTGTCCTGTCAACATGTAGGAGGTCACAGAGTTGACTCAGGGGCCCATCTCTCAATATGAAGCAGACAGTAAGAACATGCCTCCTTTCTGCCCTCTCGTCCTCCTCATCTTCATCATCCTCCCATGTCTGTTTACTCAAACATCCCTTCAGGCTGTCATTAACACAAGATAAGCAACAGAAACACACATGCAAGGACATAAGTAATCGTTTCACATAGATTAGGCAAAGAAAATCACTCTTCCAAATATCTTATCTGAAAACAAACACACACACACACGAAAAGACGCCAACTCATGCATACAACACGGCCTGATCCTTCCACAAAGTTCCCTAATTATTCAATGATAAAGTCTCCAGAAATGCAATGATTCTGAACCTGCTGACAGGGGTGTCTGCTCATCGTTGGTAAACACACCTCTGTGGCTGAGCTGAAGGACGTTCAGTATTTATATGTCTGTGGGAAACACCCTTCCAAATTACAATGTGTCATCTCTCACGCTCACACACTCAGGAAGTGTAATCACTGCACAACTCCCTAAAAACACTAAAAAGAAACACTGTAGTCTGGAGCTGTTACTAAAAGTGTAGCATGTCTGCTTTTGCTTGAGGACAATCAGCCGATATGCCGAGTATAAAATTAGAAAGGTGCAGTCTCCCGAGAGGAACATCAAGCTACCTGCATGTGACAGAGACAGTTTTAAGACCCTTCAAGTCCTTTTTTCCCACTGATACAACACCTACAAAATCACTACATTTTCCATTTATTGTTAGAAGATGTTCAGCTATTGGTGAGCAATATAAAAACACATGGAAAAAAATAGGGACCATGTAGTAAATTAAAATTAAATTAACATCCATTTCTGTTATGTAAGTGGATATGTAATATTAAGAAAAGTTTAACTGCATGATGAACAAATTAAGTGGTCACTAAGAACTGGAATATGGATTTTTGACTGTTTTTTCTATTTAGCTTTTACTGTGATCCATGTTTGACTGCACAACACTACACACATACTGTACTTCATGCTTATTGTTTCTACCACATGTCAGTTACATTTTTTTGCAGTGTGAATACTATATATATCGCGTATAAGCAGTATATAGACATTTAATAAATAATATTGTTCTAAGCAAATTTAAGGACAATTTTAAGTGTTTATCAACATAAGTTATTTGTCAACAATTTTAACTCCTATTAAGACTCAATTTATATTATTACAACAGTATTTTACTATATTGTCATTTTCTTTTCACATGCCAGCTTCCATTAAACCACAGGAGTTATAGTTGTTGATAAATATATTAATAAAAACTTAAATATGATTTAAACTACATTATAGTGAGGTATAAAGCATTTATTAAATGTCTATGTACTGTTTAGAAATGCTAATGGGGGGAAAAGGGCTGAATCTAATCCAACAAATGCAAAAATTTTAAAAAAAACTTATGAGTGTTTTTCTATTGTTCATACCCTGGAAAAAACAGCAGCTAACTTTTGTTATTGAGCCTTCACTCATTGCACCCTCAGGGTGGCGTACTGATTGGACACAGGTAACTGGAAATTAGACAGATACACAACCCAATCGCCAGAAGAAATGTTGGCATTGTAATGTTCCAAACCACAGATACATAACATTTGTACATTATTATAAAGTCCATATGTCAAAATGCAATGCTCCCTTTTACAACTTGCTCAGTATCTCACCATGGGAAGCACCCACGGTGAGATACCTCACTCGGTTAACAGAGAACTGGGGTTACCCTGATAACCTAGTTTCTCTATGTTTCATCATTGCTGTGGTTAAGTTTGGTTATGTTGAGGCACAAAAACCAGTTGGTTATGGTTAGAAAAAGATGTTGAGGCTTAAAACACCCACTTCTGCTGGCATAATCACGGCTGAAAATGCCGCCAATGTTACGCTAAAAAAACACCCCATTTTGTTGTTTGTTAGTCTCAAAAAGGGGTCTGCAGCTTGGCAGCCATCTCATCTAGCTGTCACAACATCCGCCATCTTCTCCACCTCCAGATAAAAAAGTCAAATCATATACATGTAATCAGAATTATATCACTTTACAAACATTGATAAGACACGTATGAAACCTACAAATGTAACATATCTGTGGTTTGCAGCAACATACAACGCCAACATTTTATTCTGGCAACTTGTTTGGAATACATGGATATATATATGTATATTTTATGTCAATGTGTCAATTATAATCAGATTTTTTAAATCGAACACAAAATGTTTGTCCATAATCCAACAACATCCAATCTATTTAAGTATAAGGATCAATGGATCAAATTTTAACCTCTCATTCCTTCCAAAGAACTAAAACTTTGCCAGTTAGTTAAATAGCATCTCAGATGTTGTCTAATGTGGCACATTTGACAGATAGACAGAATTTCTTATCCATAGTCTAACCCAAAATATGAAGATAAATGATACACAGAACTGTAAAGAAAAAGAAAAGAAAAAAATCAAGTTGGTGTAAATAAAATGTTTCATCCACATTCTATGTATTACTACATTTCATTCTGTATATCATTTTATACATCATTCTGCATTTTTGGTTAAATACTAAACTGCATTTTCTTGTTTCAGTACTTGTACCCAGTAACAAAGTTGTTAATCCAAAAATAACATCTAAAATCAGACTCTATCTTATTAAACACTGTAAGAGAGGGCACTTAAATAAAAACAGTCTTTTATTCCACAAGTTTCACAAATCAACTTTTACAACCAGATCGCAGACAGTGAGCGGCCGAGAGAGTAAAAATGAAACTCGAGAAAAAGTGGGAAAAGGTTCATAGACAAATTTGTATTTCCCACCACAATGCCCGAGGACAAGAAAGACACTTAACGGAGCAAATGTTTTTCATTTTAAATGGGATTACCCGCCTTTAAACATTTGTTGGATATTACAAAATGTTGTAGGAGTAGTCTTCATTAACTTCTTAATGTACACATGTATGAGGAGCCTTTGACATATCTTAACATTAGGTAGTACAATTTTCTCACTGGTGATATGTGGTAGAAATTCAAGGTATTGCCATGCATTTGCCAACACATGTACTGTAAGGCTCTTTAAAGTTTTCTTTGCTTCTCTTCTCTGGACAGCCTACCTTTACCTCACTGCAGCACTCTGAGGCCCAGTCGAACAGTATCAACAGGAAAATATGGCATTTAGGAATCAAACCTTCGAAAAACTAACGCAGTTTTCTCTCAAACTTGAAACACATCAAGCATATTAAAAGTTTGAAAGATTGTGCAGTCCTTGTAAACAGTCGCATAGGACAGTGCTTTACGGCAAGTGCATTATTTATTTGTGTATGTGCTTTTTGAGTATATGGCGGCAACAAGGTGGAAGAAGGTTGGTTATTGTTTCCCTGGTGGTCCAAAAAAGCCTTGGAGGCAGAGCAATGTTCTGCTCAACAGTCTCCTGAAACAGGGCAGCACTGCTGGGTAATGCAGCCTGTTCCCTGTATGTTCACAGTTTAATGGTCCACACGTGTCAAACACATCCTGAGAGAACATCTCTCAGTCCACATGGGGACTTATTTAGTTTTTGTCTTTGCCTGGGCAGCTCACCGCTGTGGCTACCGCGCCGTGACCATCCACAGGCCCAGTGCCACGTTGGCTGCTAGCAGGGCGCTGCCCGCCAGCAGCAGGAAGAAACCAATCAGCTCGCGTTTTTGACGCTCTGTTACCACAGTAACCAGCGTGGCCTCCAGCAGGGCGTTCAGCATCCACTGACCGTCGAGAGCGAAGCATGGCACGGAGTTTACTACTGCTAATGCACCAGAGAGGGACACCACATACCTGAGAGAGAAGAGGGTTAAGGATTGTACTACTGTATAAGGTTCATTCTTCACATATCTTACACACACACACACATTTCTTGGGCTTTCTATCATGATCTTCATCAGCAGATGGAACTTTTTTTCTGAGCACTTGAGGACTTCTATTCCATGTTGGTTTAAAAAAAATCCATCTGCTGATAAAGATCATGTGATAAGATCTGAAGTCTAGACTAGAATTAAATGCTTCACAGTTGTATGCCTCTGCCAACCATTAAGTTACAGTTTACATCCATGTCTGTCCAGACTCACATGCTTTATGTAGTGAAGACTTGGAAGGAAGTTAATAAAAAGGTATTAAGTGTATTTTCTGGCAAAACATGGATGCATTACACACATCTTCAATTTGGCAGCACAGAAGATCTAAACAATCAGCACAGTTTCAAGGTGGGCACTCAAGATTAGTATCATCAGCTCAGTATCTGACCAAAGTGTTAATTCGGAATGTTATGGTGTCACAGTGAAGTTGACCTTCGACCTTATGGATATAAAATGTCTTCACTTCATCATTTTATCTGATTAGACTTTTTTGTCATAAGTAGTATATGAATTCCTGAGTTACAGCCAAAACCATGTTTTATGAGGTCACAGTGACCTTGACCTTTCACCATCAAATTCTAATCAGTTCATCCTTCAGTCCAAGTGGACGTTTGTGTCAAATTTTAAGAAATTCCCTCAAGGTGTTCTTGAGATATCACATTCACAAGAATGAGACAAATGCTAGGTCATGGTGACTTTGACCGTATATCAAATATTCTGCTCACGAAGATGGGACAGATGGATGGACAAACAGATAAACAGACAGACGAACTAACGGACCACCCAAAAACATAATTCCTTCGGCCACAACCATTGGTGCTAAGGCATATTTGTATTTTTGGAAAACCTTATGAAGTCACAGTAAAGTTGCTCTTTGAACATTTGAATATGAAATGTCATCTCTTCATATTTTTATCCTTTTAATCATGTGTGCAAAACTTTGTCATAAATAGTGTATAAATTTTGAGTTATGGCCCAAACCATGTTTTGTGAGGTCACAGTGACCTTGACCTTTGACCAACAAATTCGAATTAGTTCATCATTGAGTCCAAGATGTTTGTGGCAAATTTGAGGAAATTCCCAAAAGGTCTTTTTGAGATATCACATTCAAGAGAATGGGACAGATTAGGTCACAGTGACCTTTGACCATCAAATTCTAATCAGCTATTCATTGAGTCCAAGTGGACTTTTGTGCCATTTAAAGAAACTTTCTGATGGCGTTCTTGAAATATTTCATTCAGCAGACCGGGACAGATGAAGTAATAGTGATCTTGACCTTTGACCACCAAAATCTGATCAGTGCACACTTGAGTGGAAGTGGACATTTGTACCAGATTTCAAGAAATTCCCCGAAGACATTGACATATTGCGTTCAAGAGAATGGCCGGATGGATGGACATCCCGAAAACATAATGCCTTTGGCCACGGCTATCGCTGGCATGGAGGCATAAAAACAATAACAGCACCAACCAACACAAACATGATGCAGCAGAACTGCAGTCAGAATTGTCCACAGCTATTCACTGACGAGTTAAATTCAGCCAGTCACTTTCTGAGCAGCAGCCATCAGACTTGTGAAGCTCATCACGCCTCCTGACTGTGGAGCAAAATGACTAGATGTTAAAATGGGGACTTTTAATCAGTAATAACAGACATTAGACTTTGTTCAGAACTGTTACGCTGTATCACCATTTTGAAGAGCAAAATGTTCATCATTTAGACAGAACAGACGGTGCTTTGTCAGCCAAGGACTTACATTACCCTTCTATCCTTTAAAAAAAAGCAACATCATTTGTTTTTTTTCTGTGTAAGAGACTTAGACAGAAGAGTAGCATTCACTCTTGGAAAACCAATCCTCACACATCCCTCATCTCATAATGACTCATCTGTCCTTTAAACATGAAAGGATACTTGCAGAAGGTCTCCAAGAAGATGGGCAGATCCAGGTGAAGGAAACCAAAGCGCGGGACAAAGTTGGTCAGACTCACTGGGAAAGACAAAACATGGCAGATGTTACAGTAACGCTGAAGGAATTTATACACACATCATTAAAGAAAGATTTGATCCATTCAACACTTTTGTAAGTGTCTTAAATTGCAGCAGACAAGACAACACGCCGCTTATTCATTGTAAATCACTTAAAGACTGGAGAGGCAGCTCAACACTGTAAACACCAATTAAATGAATACTCTAAATACAAGCTCATGCCTCCTTCAAGGGTGGGGCTTGTTCATTAAAAAAGTAACTTGTTGCAAGTCTGACAGAGAAATTACAAACCTTTATATTATTTGACATTTACAAATAAGGAATAATTGGAATTGGATACTTTTATGGTACATTTTTCCTTAGTTAGTTACATCAAAATGTCTGATCTGCTTCTACTTGTGCTAATGATTTCCTACATTTCATTAAATAAACATGAAGACAGGAGGTGATCCTGGCAACACAACATACTGTAACCTACCAGCGTACTGAAGGTGCGGTGGATATCCCACAAACAGCATGTGTGCGCTGGGCGGATGTGTGACACGGATGAAGCGAGTCTGGTTCTCCAGAGACGGAGTGACGCAAACGCTGGCGGCGTGGGAGTTTGCGGTGCAGTCGTCGTCAGTGCGACACACTTGCGTCCCCGTCACCATCTTACGCACCGGCATGCAGGCGTACTGCAGCCACAGGGTTACAGAAGGGATGCAAATATGAGAAGTACAAGAGAGGTCAGCAGCAAGTGACAGACACAAGTTTATTGTAACTTTTCGTGATAAAGTCAGTCTTGTTTTTTGCTTTCTTATACATGCATCACTGTGTCCCTTGACAATGTTTGCTCTTTTTTTCTTTTTTATACATCTTCATCTATAATAGACCAATGTGAAAGTCTCACTTCTTATACCAATTTATGACAGTGGTTAACTTGTAAAAACAGGTCAGGGTTGCACAAAATGTGTTATGTTATGCAGAAGCTGCAGCTGGCAGTCCTTCTTTATACAGGGCAGGCACAATGGACTGACTAAAATGCACACATGAAGGTACAGCGCAGCAGAGCTGAAGCATTCTGACCTTACGCTTTAATACTTTTCTTTCAAAGTCAAAGAACAGCTCAGAAACAACTAATGAGATCAAAGTCTCCAGTGTTATATCATACCAGCTGAGAAATCATGAAGAAAAAAGTGTCTAGCGGCCATCAAAAGGGTTTACGTAAATAGAGATGCGAGTGTCAACTAGAACAGATTCTGGTCCCGCAAGTCAAATCACACCGTTGTCTGCTCTTAACATTTTATAACAGGTAAAAATATAAAGCAAATACGTTATTTATAAGTCATAAAATAATGGTATAGTAGTGATACTGAGTCTGCATGTTTGGTCTGATTTATACTTGTGCAATGGTGTGTCTGTGTCACTCTGCAGTTACACCTCCAAAACACTAGGTGGCAGTGGGGTTTCTGTGAAGTGCAGTAAAGTTTAGTTGATTCAAAACACACATTAAATATGTCTTAATAGCAACAATTTCAATTACTTGTTTTTTGCTGGACACATTTTCCCCACAATTACAATATGCTAATGTTATTAGCACATCTATGGCATTTTACGTTGTATAAATTAGCCTTAAGCTAGCAGAGTTTTCCTCTTCTCATATGATGCCAGGGACAAAAGCAACATTTAACGAAGGTAATGTCTGGCTCCTTTACAACTCACAATGTTCAACGATAAAACAACTGTCCTATAAACACGTTCTCAAAACAAATACAATATGCTAATGTTATTAGCGCAAGTCTATGGTATTTTACATTGTATAAATGAGCCTAGTGACTACTGAAGATTTCCTCTACTCATATGAAGCCAGGATAAATCACACAGGACTTAAATGCTATTATGGGGGGCTTTATTGTCTTCAAAATTTATTGTTTCTTATCTTTGAAATTAAAGTAAATAAAAGCTTTCTTTCCACTGAGGGAAATGGTTTCAGCTAACAAAAATAGACAGGAGGTCTGCGTTGCCGTGACGTGTTGTTACATTTCTGGGGATGTGCACATCAGGTTACAGCGTAGGTTACGAAGTGGGTATGGCGTTGATTCAACGCAGAAGTATAAATCCCGCTTTAGTCAGTACTTTGGCTCGATCTGAATCTGCAATGGGAGGCTGCCTGAACGATGTGGAGAGATGGACCCCCTTTCAAGTCTGTTTTTGTCGTGTTCAGATAATAGACACATTTGGGTGATGCTGTAAATGAAATGTTAGATAACAGGGAAATCGGAACCATGACATGTGACTGCAGACATGTGTTGCAGTTTTGGTCTCCGGTTCAGAACCATTACACCCCTAGAATAAAAGGAACTGAAATAAATAAAGGAAAAAATATAAAAATATCCCTGACGTTCTATCTGGGTTGGAAACCTGCTCACATGATGAAGCAGTCACAAAAAGTCCCAGCCTGTGTCTGTTTGTGTGTGTGTGTGTGTGTGTGTGTGTTACCTCTCTCTCTCTGCTGTTCCTGCCCTGTGGTTTTATGTAAGAGAAACAGAGGTCTGTCAGGCTGTTGTTGCTGCAGCAGTCCATCGTTCCATCCAAACGCTTGAAGGCTACAAGAAAAAAAAAAAAGATAAATGGACGAGAGAGAGACTGATTAGATTTGTGTGTCAGGCTGAAAACTAAAGATGGATGTCACTGAGTTTTGGCTTTTTTTTTAGTCGGACTCTCGGTTGGTAAATCTACTCCCATGAGATGATTAGACAAGGACAGAGTATCACACACTTTATGACATAACTGAGATTATCACGCTGACTATCATATGTCTCCAGGACCTCTGTGTACTCACACAAGCTGACTCGACTGTACAAATTAATAAGCACATTAATACATCGTGCAGCAAAATGCACTGAGGAAACATGTTCTAGTAGGTAGGAGCAGGAAGACACTGTGCTGTGATCCTCATGTCACAAGTGTCAGGGCATCCTGAATCTTCAACATCACCAAAATAACAGAGTAGTACATTCAAAAAGCTGAAGATAGCCACAGAGAGGATATAAATTTAGCACATGGTGTGGTGGAGTTTGAAGTTTTATATGATGAATAGATGGAGGGAAGATGGGAAATTCTTTTTTTAACTCTACCCTTTGGTTAAAGTGAAATCAGGACTGTAACTAATGCCAGCCTTACACCAAATAACTTTTAAAGTGATTTCACTGTCGCAAACAAATTTCCAATGTCGGTATAAAATCATTAGTTTTAGCTCAGTTGCTGCGCACTCCTGTGATCTCAATCGTCAAAAAATCAAACATGTTTAATATTATCATAAGATTTTAGTCTAGGCTCATGCAAGTAGGGGAGTTTATTGATATGAACACTGTCAACAACCATTAGCTGCAGCACCAAACAGGAAGCAGCAAACTGGGTAGACAGTAAACATGGAGGGGACAAAAAGGGAGGCACATAAACATGAAGAAGTCTCAGTTCTCTTGTACTGTGAAAAAGGAAGAGAAACCGACAGGGTTGGGGGGTGAAAAAGGGTCCCTGATTAATGCTGCATGTATCTGATCCACCGTCCACAGCTTATTTTAGTGAGAATGTTAATTTTTTAATCGGATCGCCTCTCATTCCCACGGGCTTCTCCCGCTTAAATAGCAGAGCTAACCAACAAAAGCTGGCAGTGAGTTTAGGCGACCAACTGACCCTTCGCTAAGCCCTGCCCCCAGATGCAGACTGGCCAATCATAACATAGCATCGGGCTGGCTCAGACCAGGGTCCGACAACAACACAGCTGTGCTCCACTGACTCTAATGCAATCGTTTCAGATTTCCTTCATTTTCAGGCTGGTTTTGTGGATTTGGAGCTAGTTGTTGTGTCTGGGGCACTTTGTGTATTAATGATACTTTTTACCTGGAGAGGTTGGAAAAAGATATATGTTTCTTCCCTGTTCCAAAACCAAAATCAAACTCTGATAAGTGTAGGGTTAGCTAGCTAGCTACTGAGGATATGGCCTACTGAATGTATACACATGCTGCTTTTGCTTTATAATGATTGTAACAGTGAAAAAAAGTCCGACCTTGCTGTACAGTAACCAGTGAAGGGAAACAGGGAAATGTTGCTGATATTCAACCAGCAGAGATGGTGTCAGACTTTACGCTTTTAAGTTATTTTTTATTATTGATTAATTGTTTGCTGTATATAATATTAACAAAAAGAGTAAAAAATGCCTTAGAGCCTCAAAATATTACAATGACTGGTATACATGACAAAGAAAAACAGCAGATCCTCACATTTGAGAAGATGGAAGCAGAGTACTTGCCATTTTTGTTAGAAAAATGACTGATGATTAACAGATGATCAAAATTTTTGCAGATAATACAAACAAACTGACGTGATCGCAAAAAAAACAACAAAAAACTTTAAAGCAGGAGACATAATATTTGGTTACATTTTTTTTACAGTAAATTTTTAATGAACGAATCAATTTAATTGAGTCTTTAATGAATTAATGAACTGATCATAATTAAACAGTAAATAAGTCTCTACTCCAGTGGCACACTGCTGACTCTTTATTGAGTTACACTAACAAAATGACAAATGGGCTACTTCCGTCAAACAGCCAGGTTTCATTTCACTATTACTTTGAAAGGACTCTTATTTATACTTGTTTACTATCTCCGTACACACGGCACACTCACCTCGCCCGTGAGCCCAGCTGGGCTGCAGGCTGGCGGCGGGGACACAGTATCCAGTCTGTGGGGTGTGAGAGAGGTGAGACAGGCAGCTGCTCCAGTCCTCTACTCCCCACACTGGACAGTCCTCCAGCCTCGTCACTATGTCCCCGACTGACAGACCCCGGGGACCGTCAGCTGCAGAGCCCTGGTCCAAAGACACAGACAGGAATATAAAAACTGGTTCAAATGGCTAAAGGTCACAAAAGCATACTTTGATGGTTTGATGTCTGCAGTGGGAAAATCCGGGTGGGGACATGGATGACAAAACACTTTCCCCTGCCAACTGCTGCCAAAGAGACCGACAGACTTAACACCAAAGTACTTCAGCTGCCAACTGTGGCTGTGTGAATTACTGACTGTGTGAATGTGCAGAGGGCAATAATGTGAAAAATAACTCGTGCTCTGCCAACAAAAATAAAGGTTATTAATAACTGTGACACTGGAAAACATGCTATAGTGAAGCAGTAACTTTAGTTCTGACACACAAGTGAAAATGTTCCTCACAGTATAACTAGTGTATGTAATGTACTGGGAAAGATATCTAAATCAAAATAAATTCTCTACGCTTCTCTCCTGGCATTGATCAAGCCTTTAAAAACTCATCTCTGTTCATCAGAAGAACATATTTCAGGGTTCCCACACTATCCTAGACATCAAATTCAAGGACCTTTAAAGGACTTTGCAGGCCCATTTCCAAGACAGCATAGTTTGAGACATGGCTCAAGGTTAATTACAGCACTGAGAATTTTTATAATGAGATGTAGCAGGCTTTACAGAAGCTCACAGACAATTAAAAAGAGAGAGAGGCTTAAATGTGTCGTCTCAGCAGAAAATATCAAAACAACTTCAACTGTTGCATAAAATAAATACATTCTAGCACTTTCAATAACCCTAAATCTGTTTTTTTTAATGTTCAAAGCCTTGATTTTTTCCCCCTCATATTCACAAACATAAAACAATTTCAAGAACCCATAGGTACCATCATCTCTTCTTGCCTTAAAAAGGTTTAGATGTTACTCTACACCTTTGCCTCATTTATTATGTGAGGATCTATGAATAAGTCCCACCCCTTGCCCCTCCCCTGCTGCTCAAGCATACCTGCTTAGCTTTGAACCCTGCTCATCAAACAAATACACCTCTGCCTGTCTTGTGTTTTACAGCACTTTAGAAACATAGCAGTGACAGATAACGTGAGCCTTCAGCTTGACTACTTGACCAAAAAGCTCAAACTATGTTTTTTATGTTAGAATACTGTCAGAAAATGGTGGAAAAACTGTTTTTAGCTTAGCTTTCGAAATACCGATAAATGACTACACGGGATGTTGGCTTTACAAAGACAGACTTTGACCTTGGCTAAGATCACATTTAAGGTAAGACTTCAGATAGATGTCTAAGATATCTGTTGCACATAGCTGTCTCATTTTTGACAATGTAATGTGCCATGAATTCTAAATAAATGAGACTTTTCCTATGTGAAAAACATGGTGGGAAATGTTGCTTCAGTTCTAAGGACATTTTACCGGGAAGTTTAGCAAAGGCTGTAACAATGCAAAAAAATTACCATCAGCATCTCAAATCTCAATCGAGTGCTAACCATGTTAGCCTTTGCGCAGAGTGGCTATTAACATTTTAGTCTAAAAATAAGTCAGCCTTTATTTTTGTGAAGCTGACTAACAGGCATTTGACTCATCTACGACTAAAAATATGCCGAACAATACAGAACAATCTAAAATGTCTTTGAAAAAAATGACCCAGGCTTCTCCTATTGATATAGAAAGCTCCACCCTGCAAGTTGACAGGATTAGTTCCTTAGTGACATCACAAACCCTGGCTGTCTAAATCTGTGTTTTATCATTGGCAAACCGCAGTTCCAAGGTTGAAATGCTCAGCCATGGTGTCGACTACTTATTTTGCTCATGATATGTCTCATAACATTAAAAAAACATACCATCTGGACTCGTTAAAGGTTAAAAACTTGATTTTCACTGCACTGACCTGGACGACCTCTGTGACCAACGCCCCGCCGCCAGTGGAGTACATGGGAAACAGGAGGAGAGGCAACAGGAAGAGAAAGGCTAATGCTGCCACGCAGAGAACAAAGTTGTGCCACACTCCTAAAGAAAGAAAACAGAAACATTTATTTTAATTTCACTTTTTAATTTCAGTTAATGAAAGATTATTATTCCTAGAATGTTAAAAGGGCCATGCACAGAATTTTAACTTTTAAAATATAACCCTGAAAATTGTCAAGACTATGAACCTGAACCCTCCAATATGAAGCTACTGAGAAGCAAAGAGTAACATCAGGCTTGTATTCGACAGTCTACAGATACTACATGCTGTCGCAAGCGTTTTGCATGTTCTCCACATATTTTCAGGCTGGAGGATGTCGTGGCAAACCTGTAACCACTGCTCTCCAAAAATAACTTAACTATACCATCTTAATTATGCAAGAAGACAGTCAGTCTCCCAAAACCACATGAGGAAACGTTTCATTGCTTGATGAGGTCAAGGCACAATATTTAGATCTTATTTCCTGAAACATGCAAAGCCATTATTTAACACGGTGACAGCAGCATCAAGCACCAAGCTACGCAAAATCTCTGGAAAGGAGGAGATTAATAGCTGAAGACAGTTTGAGGAAATTTGTTTCTCTGGGGGGGAAAAATCCCAGACTGCTTTACGTGATTTTAATTTCAGGCCTAAAGGGCGCAATTATATTTCCCATACTGACTTTATACAGTAAACAAACTATTAAAGTTGCATCACCTATCGCTACAGGAATAAATAATAAACACATTATGAGAGAGAACCCTCCTGCGTACAGAGAGATCTCCGCTGTGGAGCGAGAGGGAGAGACAGAAAAATAAACACAGCATGCCGTTATGTCACCACTCCCCTGATGGGAATTATGGCATCCTCCTCTCTCTGCCTTTCTGCTTTGTCATATGACTTGATTGGACGTCTCAGTTTGGTGCCTGCAGTCACCACCCGAGTTATTTTCTTCACATTTAACAGAGGAAAAGCCTGGAGGAATCTGGATCTGGTTTAAGATACAGATGGTTTTACCGAAGCTCTTCGCTGCCCTCTAAAGGCTCCACACAGCACAGAGGAAGCAGAATTTAATGATGTTTATTAGAGTCATGCTCTTACACACTGACGGACTCATCTGCAGGGAGTTAAGAGTCACCTATGTGTTCCCATCACAGTGGGATCACAGTGGGATGGGAACAGATAAGATTTTACTGAAACCGATGCCCTTATCGATTCTGCTAATCCGTCAAATTGTTTATTGATTCCCTTGTTTACTCCTGGTCAATTTTCTGTGTGGAAAAAAGTAGGCTTTCACAGGTTTTTCAGCTTCAACACAACCGTTTTATTATCTCATCATCTGAAATGAATGAAATGAGAGACTATTTCTACGGAATTCGTTTTCATTTTAGTTTTCAAAGTCAAAGAAATCAAAATCTGCTAACCCTGCCGGCGTGGCACAAAAAAATATAATGTATATTATATGAGCCATTTGAAATGGTTAATCACATTTTTAATAACAAAATCATATTTCAAATACTGCTGAAATATGTGGCACTTTGGACTGTTTCATCCTTTCTGCCGTCACTCCTTCTTTCAAGTTTCCAGCAGAGTAGAAGCATGAGTTTAACGTCACTGTTAAAGTCAGAACTGTCAGAAAAATATGCTGGCACTGATAGCAGAAAGTAGAAAGTAAAAAGCTTGAAGACATGTGGTTGTGACAGATTGGACAATTTGCAACCGGTTCTCAACTCAAACTGGTTCGTGATTCCCATCCCTACTGACCAAATCATCCTGACATCCATTTCCCTGTTTTTGCAGGAATACCACTGGGTTTCACTGATAAATAAACTGATGTGGAACATAAAACATGAAACATTCATAAGGACTAAAGTGATGATTATTCCTCTACTGTAGCAGGGATTTTGATTCCACACAGGACTTTGACTAGACTAGACTATGGAATAACTAGAATTACTGCCTTGCAGTTGTATGCCTCTGTGAACCAGTTAAGTTGTAGTTACAGATTACAGCCATATCTGTCCAGTCTCATGTGTAGCCATAAGTAAAGACAATGCTTCAAATATGGATGTTGCTGCAAAGAAGCATATTCTAAAATGTGGATGCTTGACAGACATCTTCAATCCAGCAGCACAGAAGATCCATACAATCAGCTCAGCCTCAAGATGGGCACAAAAGATTAGTGTCACCAATTTAGTATCTGACCAAATGTCTCCCCTTCTGTTCCTGAGATATGACGCTGAATAATGGCCAGAAAAGTGTTTTTTTTTCCCTATTGTCAAAATGAGCTTATGAATTCTTGAGTTATGGCCAAAAACCTGTTTTGTGAGGTCACAGTGACCTTTCACATTTGACCACCAAATTCTAAGCAGTTCATTGTTGAGTCCAGGTGGACGTTTGTGCCAAATTTGAGGAAACTCCCTCAAAGCCTTGAGATATTGCATTCACAAGAATGAGACAGACACAAGGTCACAGTAACCTTGACCTTTGACTACCAAAATCCAATCAGTTTGACATTTGTGCCAAATTTATATGCAGTACAACACTAGTATGCTTGCTAACATTAGCCTCAAGGGCTAGATTGTTTGACACTGCTTGGCAACACCGTCAGCCAGTCTGTACTGACGTAATCATAATCATCCAGATTTTAAATCCTAAATATCAAACATGCTTGAAATTATCAGGGTCCCAGACCTGATTTCTCCTCCAGTTTGTGGGGAGGGTTAAATCAGGGATAAATCAGCCCAAAACTCCTGTAGTCTGAACCCAGCTTTCCAGCATATTTTTGTAATGAACAATGATTATATAATATATTATCCAAAGTGAGAAATTCATTTTTCATACAGGGCATCTTTTGCCTTTTAATTTGATTTTTTGCAGCATTTTGTGACCTGTCGGGGTTAATTTTACAACACCAAACCTTAGCGAATAAACCCAAAATTGGAATCTCTGTGATCAGCATTTTTTTCTGCTGCTTCAAACTGCCCTCTTGACTCTTGACTCAAATTAAAACTGGTCACATTCTTCTTGACCAGACTGCACTGAAAATAATCAGTCTCTAACAGGCTCGTACGGTGGCCTGTAGAAGACATAACTCGCATTAATGCGTGAATAACCACCTGCTCTGCCAATCAATTCATTAAAATCTAATTTCCTTAATTGCAGAGTGAAATGATTTGATGTGCAGCAGCTGTCTGGTGTTCAGAAATAAATGACCTCAGGATGACCTTCTCTGGCAAAACAGAAATGAGTATTTAATAAAATGCATGTAATAATTGTGATTAATAGCTGTGATCACATTAGCTGGCAAAATGATCATCTCTGCCACAAGGAGGGATCAAAACACGTCTGGTTAAAAAGTCTTACCGGCACAGAAGATCCGGAGCTGCTGAGTGGGTGATATGATGTTGAGGTGTGTGGTGAAGAGGTCCACAAACGCTCCGGGATACACCACGAACACAAACATGCCGAAGCCGTTTACTCGCACTTGCTCCCTAGAAAAATGATACACATTAAAAGAGGTCAAGAAGAGGAGGACAACACATTAAAGTCTCAGAAAATGTCTTACTAAAACTGATGGGATCCTGGATGAACACACTATTTTCTCTCAAATTTAGAGCAGAATTTCACAATCAGGGTGCTCAATACAGCCAAAATATTCTGGTACAGTACATGTAATATTATATTGTGGTAACGGTAAACCATGATACAGTAAATCTTCTGTAAATTCAATAAAGATATAGCTTAAAAACTAGAGGTGGGTGAAAAAAATCAATACAACATAGTACTGCAATATTTTTGTGTGGCAATATCGTATTGTTACACTGCAACAAGTGTTATCGGATCCTCAAGCAAGAATCTATGGAAAAGGGCCGCTGTCTATTCACCATACTATGGACCGCAAGTATTTAAGCCCAGGAGGTCTTGTTTAAGTGGGCTCACTGCATACTGTGGCTCGATGATGTCACATAATATGCTACAATGACTTCTTTCACCAGTAGCTTAGCTTTTACAATTTTTGTTGTTGTTGTTATTTTGTTTCTTGAAACAAAACCGTCATCACCTATATACCCCAGCAAAATGTCAGGAAGGTATGAAGGTATGAGGAAACAGATACCTTCCAAGCCTAGCTGCCAACACATATAACATGAATAATAAACATGTTAGTGTGCAACTTTGTTGTCAATGAATATTTAATGTTTTAGAGAGATTCAAAGCCACATTTTTAAGCATTTTAAGCACCTAACTTATCAGATGATGAAAGATGAAGGTCTAGGCAAGTGCAGAGTAAAGCACTAACATAAGGGACAGAATAACGCTGAACCAGGTTAAAACAATATCATCATTTATACATCTTCAATTAAATAGAAAATATCTAAGACTCTAACTCCCTTGTGCATTCACATAAACCCTCACTAGTCACCTCCCCTTTTTCTGTCTTTATAACCATTGGATGCTCTTCTCTCTGCCAGTTGACATGGTAACAGATTTGTGTTTTGGAAACGTGTGTGTTGTACCTCAATGCTGCCACAGCGTGGCCCAACTCATGTATGATTCCGCTGAGCAGCAGGGCGATGAAGAAGTAGGCCAGCTGACTGGTGGGCAAATTGACACCAGGGACCTGAAGACACGCCCGAAACCAAAAAAAGAAAGGCAACACACAACTGTGACTGATACAGAAATACATCATGAACTCCAATAGTCATCCTCAGGCTGACAAATCAACCTGTTTCAAGAATTTTGGGCCTCTTTGATCTTATTATATTGGCATTTTAGTCTTGTAGGAGGAAATGTAAACTATGATACAATATATCTGGCACATACACACAACTCTTATATTACCAAGATATTAAAATCTTCATCCCCACTTGTTTTTTGTTTTGCTGAAGCTGTGGTTTTCTGTGTGGTCTGCATTTTCCTCCTCCGCTGGCTGTGTGGTGCATTTTCTGCCACTCCAGCCTGAATGCCTGTTTATAAATGGCCAACTAACAGCTTCCCATTAATCACCTACGTACAGTGGTCCACTGGGAATAGTGCTCACATTAATGCACGGCAATTTGACACCTCAATGAATAAGAGGTGAACAGAGGAAAAATGCTAAATAAGAGCCCTTCCTTTAAATGGGGCATCTTTCTCCCCCCTCATTTAAATATCTCAGGCTCTGTGTGAACTTTCAAGGACATTTGTGCTCTGAACTCCAGTTAATCTCTGACCCTGTGCACTGACAAGACAGTCACAATATTTACAAGTCTAACCAGTTGGGTGTATACGTACCACCACCTGCAGTGCCTGCTGACCTCCTATCCGAGGGTTGTCTGTGGTCATCTGAGCAAGCGTCTGCTGCAGCGTCTTTATCAGCAGCACCACAGAGCCCAGCATGGCCACTATACCAAACACCAAACCGCTGTTGAACCTGCCAGAGATCAAATTGATATAATAGAGCAATCATTTAAATTTGGCCAGACCCTATAAATGTGATCATTTTATCTGAAAACACCCTAAAAGCTTGCAAAAAAACAAAAACTGCACAGTACAAAAGATATATCAACATTTTGGAGGACCGGCCCACTTGTCCATTAAGTGATGAGAAGAGATGAACAAAAATCATCACAGCAGCACTTCAGCATCATTTTGTTGAGAGGTAGTGATAGCTGGCCACTAACGATATGTCATTAGTGAAAAAATGAAAGTTTTCAGTAACCCTACATGATACTTCAACAAGTGTTGTAGCTTTAACAGTGGTATTTCCTTTATGGCTAAGCTAGGTGCTCATCATATAGTGCCAATACAGATACTTTAACACTCATATTGGTTTTGGAATGATATTTATATTATGCATTTAATTTCAAAACAGAGAGCCTTTTTTATTCTTTACTTACACTAAAATAATTAAATAAAAATTATAGGTCAGTCACTAGCCACCTACAATCAATATGCTGTTTATTATCTCCTCAATGCATAAGCTTGAAAGGGATCATGCATTGGGTCGCGTGTGTGTGAGAGTGTGAGAAGTACTACTGGACCAATCAGCCTAATGTTTTGGGCGTACTTTTATGACTGTTTACTCATGGAGCTCTTGTAGCTGTGGTGATTCACAACAGTTGAAATGGTTGAAATTGTTGAAATTTATTGACTGTTGTATACTGCTATTGACTGCTGCCTCCTCGTAAGTGCCCAGTAGGGGCCATAAATGTTCCAAAAACCAGCTCAGCTAAAAACAAGCCTCTCCTAGTCTGTTTCAGGCCACATTTTGGTCTTCGTCGTGGCTCAAAAACTGACATCCATAGTAAAGTTTGGTCCTACTTTGAACTGGAGCAGATTAATTCCATATGCGATATGTAATGACCCACTAAAGTTAGGTATGATAGATGTGAAAAAAGCCCTGTTTCGTTTTCTTCACCAAAAAAATGGCTGTACAGGAGCTGGGAGGGACAATTCCAGTGGGTGCAGCTGCCCAGAGTGGCAGCGATCAGCTCCAGTGACCACCTTGCAAGGATCTGCACCATACAGAGTGCACTTTTCTAGTTTTGCGTCTTTAGGTGTTTTTCATTTTGTTTGTATTTAAGTGTTTTTCTATTTCATTGATTGAAAATTGTTGTATATATTTAAGATTTTTAATTTAAAGGGAAATTTCGGTTTATTTCAACCTGTCTCCTATCGTCCTAAATTTGTTTCAAGTGACTAGTGACGTAAAAATAATAGTTAGCATGTTAGCCGTTAGCCTAGATACAGCTGGGGGGCATAGTAGCGTCAGACCTGTTAAAACTTAAGTGAACTGGCATTCTTCAAGTGCAAAGTTAGTCCACTAAACAAGCTTTTTTTCCACAAAGACCGCCTCATATCGTTAGGATAAATGTCAGAGAACATATAGAAAACGACATGTAAACATGTTGTCTTACCTTACCAGTGTGCTGCCATGTTTGTTTACCATTTAGCTCTGCTTTCCAAAGCGCGGTCAAAATATCGCGAAAACAAGCAGCGATCTCATAGCGTGCCTGAACAAGCAGCAACAGCTGGAAGGCAGAACCGGACAGTAGCCTGAAAATCATTCATTTATTTTATGAAAGATTTATAGAATAATAGCTGACTTTTTGCCAGACTTCGACTTTGTGGAGGAGGAATTTGATTTTGCAGAGTTTGATGGCCGCCCTTATTTATTTGAGCCAGAATATACTGACGAAAAGCTTCGTGAAATTGAAGAACGGAGGAGGAGGAGGAGAGAGAGAGGCACAACAGGCAGAGGACGAGAGAGGAGGAATGGCTGCTGCAAGGCTGTGTAGCTCTGGAGATTGGTGGTGTACCTGTGGATGCTGTGCCCCAGTGCCCACAGAAGAGGAATGCCTCTGTTGCAAGGAATGGGACCGGTTGCAGCCTTATTTTCAAGGTCTGGATGTGACCGAGGACGAGACACCTCCACCTGGAGTAGTATTCATCTAGAGCTCACGAGATTTCAGGCACGGTATGAGATCGCTGCGATATTTCGGCTGCGCTTTGGAAAGCAGAGCTAAATGTTTAACAAACATGGCACCACACCGGCAAGGTAAGACAACACGTTTACATGTCGTTTTCTATATGTTCTCTGACATTTATCCTTAACGATATGAGGCAGCCTTTGTGGAAAAAAAGCTTGTTTAGTGGACTAACTTTGCACTTGAAAATTGCCCTTTCACTTACGTTTTAACAGGTCTGACACTACTATGCGCCCTGGCTGTATCTAGGCTAACGGCTAACATGCTAACTATTATTTTTATGTCACTAGTCACTTGAAACAAATTTAGGACGATAGGAGACAGGTTGAAATAAACCGAAATTTCCCTTTAAGAGGAGCACTGTATGAGCCAAGAGCTTCTTGACCTCTCACGTCAGATTTGTTTCCCGTTCTATTTAAATTCTGTTTGTGTGAGTGTAATAAAAAATAAAATGTGCATTAAACTAAAGCATTAATAATCAATGAGTTCAAGTGGGCCAACTGGGAAATCTTCCAAAAAATTGGAGTTTATGTTTAAGAGCTGGAACATGGATGCCTGAACCAGTAGAGTACAGAAATGATGCGGGAACAGTTCAGGTTAGTTGTAGTTCATTTATTAAGTAAAAGTACTCACCACAGGTATTGGGCTCGGGGGTTGATGCGGGCACAGTATGCAAACAGGCGGTTGAACATGGTGGTTTGCCATCTCACATGGAAAGGAGACAACATCAACCCCCGACTCGCCAACCATGACTCGTAGCTGATCCGATGTGTCACTGACGACTGTGGGAGTCAATGGAAAACAAGGGAAAGTTAACTACGAGTGCAATAACCAAATCATTACAGTCCTGAAGTTGAGTGTGATGAGTTGTGTGATAAGAGTCTGACCGATACTGAAGTTTGAAGACATCTGTTAATGACATATTCATTTTTAAATTCAGACACATTTTTTTTTTTCAGGATCCCGTAAATTTGTTTGTTTGCTCATTTGTGAACAATACATTTCATAACCATGACACAGGTCTTCATGAAATGTGGTACAGGCATGACAGAGGAGAGAAATAACACTTTGCTTGACTTAATTAGGAATGAAATTGAATAATTTGTATAAATTAATAATTTACATTTTTTATGATTTGCTTATTCAAATTTCATTTTAGAAAAATGAAATTTGGCTCAAATAATAAGCAAATTCATTATCAGAAATGAGCACTGTTGAAAATAAATAACAAATAATAATAAATAATATCCTCTAAATAAAACTCTCTCACCAAAATATGATTTAACATCCAAATTAAAATCAGCCCAAAACCTGTCACATATGCACACTGTGCTCCATTTTACCCCCGGTCGTGTACAAGACCCCAAGATACTTGAACTCCCTCGCTTGAGGCAGTAACTGTCTCCCAACCCAGAGGATTCAAGAACCTTGCCCACTGCCCACAGGGACAGGAACTGGGGTTAAGTGCTGTTTTGTGACGGGCAGTAGGCAGGAGCGGGGCCCTAGGTGTGCTGATCCCTGGCGTCACAGGCTAGCTGACATGTTCCAACTATCCAAACACCATTACAGACCAAGTACACTCCCTCACAGCTGCTGGGGAAGGAACTCCCCGATAGCAGCTTCCTCCACAGCAGGACAATTCTCTATTACACACTGCAAAAACTGCTCAGGAATAGCTCAAGGAACAAGCGGCAAACTCAAGGCTTCGAACAGGCCTTGAAATAGCCTCGAGCCCAATCCGATTGAGCATCTGTAGGATGTACTAGTACCTCACCTCACAACTCACTGGACTCCAAATACCTGTCGCCACTGCCTCAGTGCCAGACACCACAGGAGACGCCTAGAAGTCCTGTGTCCATGCCTCAACAAGTCAGTGCCCAGTTAAATTTGAGGAGGCCCAACCGTGGATCGGGGGTACCTCTGGGGTACCAGCACGTCCCCTTTCCCTGTTCCTGAACACTTTTTGTGGTGTAGTGGTGCGGTGCATTGTCCTGCAGAGGGGGGACTGCCATTGGGTGGTGATGTTGCCATGAGGGGGTGTACCTAGTCTGTAACAGTGTTTGGATGGGTGAGTGTCAAGATGCTTCCACATGAATACCAGCACCCAAGTTTTCCCATGTGTTTGACATAACTTTTGTCAACTTATGTCATGTGTTGTCCAATACTAACTGTAATTTCTTTAAAGGCTAAATCAAGTCTTCAACATTAGTTGACATGTGTTAACTGCATTGCTGTACACTAGAAGACGGTAAGTTTTCTTATTGCATGCAAATGTGTCGCCTAGAGATAATAATGATGAACAGAACCATAATAACAGCAGGAAACAGTTTCTCTGAGTGAGGAAAGAGTGGGAGTTACAGCCATAACATGTCGTGAGGCTGCTAACGTCCACTGTGAATAGTACTGGCTAATGAAACAGCCTTATATCTGCTCGTATGTTAGCTGACATCTTACTGAACACCTAAAACAAGACTATATATTCACCTTCAGCAGTGTGTCGGCGAGGTAGACCGCACACCAGGCTGCCATCACAAACACCAACAGAGGCACAGGGATCATGGTGCATCAGACGACTCTCCGCGGACACAATGAAGCAAACTGCCCTGTCTGTATCACTCCGTCCGCCCGCTCCTCATCCCGCAGCTAGCCGCGGTTACACATGTTCAATATAACATAAACATCTAACATTTTAGCTTAAATACGAACAAAATACGGGTTTGTATCAGGGATGCTCTGAATGGAAAGATCCGTCAGCATAGCACTGTGCGACACACTTCCGGGTGACTCTTCTTCGTCTTCTTCTTTTTTGTAAGCTCAACCAACCATAGCACTACCGCCACCAAGTGTTGATCTGGAGAACTTTCCTTCGAAGAAAAAGGAAAATACTTCCTAGGCTGATTTTAATTTAGTTTTCTTTAACAGTTAGATAAGGTGATAATTATTAAACTACATTGTCCATATATGCCACACATCACAGTTTGTGCTTATTCCGCCCATTTTATGAATAAAAATTCTCAGTGGTGAATGAAATACCTGAATGCTACACTTGAGTAAAAACAGAGGTTACAATATATTTGTGAGTGTAAACTCTTTGGTTAAAGTGCAGATATCTTACCAGAAAACAACTTTGGTAAAATTAAAGTCACCTGTCAGAAAATTAAATGGATAAAAGTCTTAAAGTATCTGATATTTGCTGTTCTTAAGTACCAACATTAATTTTATGATAGTAAATGCCTTGGAATTTTGAGAATTGTACATGTACACCACCCTAAAAATGGAGCATACATTACACCAGAAACAATTAGGTCTTTTTCACAATTTAATGGATTAAGAAGAAATCTATTTTTTTCCCTCTCATTCCTGCATTTGTTCATCCATCCTTTCCTCTCTTCCTTCCTTTCTTGTTTAGTAAGTAACTAAGATGCTTGGGTGAAATGTATTGAAATAAAAGTATGCATTTTATTTAGGAAATGCAGTGAAGTAAAAGTGAAACTTTGTTGTAATTACAGGCAAATAATAATACACAAAGCACAGATGACAACATGACATGACAATGTAGTCTAACAAAGAAAAAAACAACAACAATCAAACCAAAAAGTTAGACTACTACTAGTGTAATTATAGTTCTGTATAGTTCCACCTTTCACTAGAGAAACTCTTCTCAAATTTCATGTTATTTTGTGCTACTTAATAATTTGTAGCAATAATTCTTTCCATAAGAATTTGACATTGCACTGTATTTCTCAGGAAACTTACATTCAAAGTTGTTTTTGATTGAGCTTTAGATATAAATATTTTACAAAACAGAATAATTGTATTTAATATCTGGGGACAGATTTCATCCAGGAGCCCCAATAGAATGTTTAAAGCCTGCAACATAAGGGCAGTAAAATGCAAAAGTGAAAGTTGACAGAAATATAAAAACTCAAGTAAAGTACGGATACACACCCAAAAAATACTTATGTTCTGTAACAAAGTTTTATGACTTTGTCACATTACACCACTGTAAATTGTTGCTTGTCCCAGTTTTATGTTACTAATCCCACATATTGAGCTACACTAGAGCTATCAAGTGTGATGCCTTCAAGTGATGTGTGGGAAATGTCGAAATTTTGACTTAAAAGCCAAATAATTTTCAATTAGGTTGGCAAATATAAACTGAGAGCAGGAAATTTAAAGTTCTTTCTTTACTCTGTATTCTGCATTAGCCCATCAAGACCTGCATGATGCATTTGATGTAAAGCTTAACTGTCAACGTGCAATTCCTATATTGAGTAAAATATGAGCACATAATAGAATACAAGAATGCTATGGAGAGGAATGAGCAGTACATTTAAAATGTCAAGTAAATTATATTGTATTTTATCAAAATTAATTCTCATATTATTGTTTGTTATGTGTTTCATTTTACAGTATTTTGATATCATTACTCTGTTGAAAGAAAGAAAGAAAGAAAGAAAGAAAGAAAAAGAAAAAGAACATCTTTGCAGATTGATTTTACCAAGGGAACCTGAGGGCAGCACTAGCCCTTGAAATGGAGCGCAGAATAATTGATCAGGTTTGCAGAGCAGCTTTGGCAGAGTTGCAGCAGTAAAAAATGAAAGTGTGAGTCTAGATATTGGATTTCATCCTGCCCAAAGGCCAGGAGGGTAAAAGGACACCAATAAATGTTGATGGTCTGACTCAGATGCGACGAGGAAACAAGGTCCCAGTCTGACTCATTAAGCCATAAATGTGAGCCAGGGAACATAAAACCACTTGTGGATAAAGACTCATGTGTTGATGCATTTCACATCCATATTGGCACAGTTCAGCGTCACACAGAGCCTCCAGTTTGTCAGTCCTGTTTTACTCACACAAGTGTTTGGAGGTCACTTTTTGGAGGGATTCTCTGTGAGGTTAAAGGTTAATTCCGTACAATAACATGAAAGTGTAGACGAAGCACCAAAACCCAAACTGTTAACTAATTATCAGTCAGTCAGACAAATGCTCACCAGGACAGGGAAATATTAGTGGCTTTTCTCCATTGTGGTGTAACAACATGAGCAGCTTGAGCAGATGAGCAGGACAGATGCCCTCATGTACATGTGGCCTCCAACTTCCCATTTCCTGCCAACTAAACAGCTGCCTGAGGACAAGAGGGACGAACTGTCAGACAGCGAAAACTATTATCTGATCTCCAATGAAAACTATCACACACTAGAGGGAGGACTCATCATTCAGTGGACTCCATTCATTCATTTAGCCTGAAATGCCTCATTTTTGTTACCTTATTTAAGTTCTAATGTCAATTTTAGCTCCAAATTACACTCAAATACAATGATTCAGTCAGTGCACTCTACATGTTACTGTGGGTGGGTACCTGAGGGGAAAAGAAGAATACATACATAATAAATAATAAATAAAATTAAAATGTAGCCTATGATAAGAATAAAGAAAACCATGGAGACATTATTAGATAATAAAAAAATGTACCAATTTTCTTGTCTTCTTTGGCTTTTCTTGGCACTTATTCAGGCACAGCAGTATTAACCTGCCTCAGGACCAGCATGTGCCACCACAAAATACCGTTTGTCTCACCAGCATTTTGATGCAACGCCGAAAGTTCAGTTTTGTTGAACTTCGACCCCATTTGACGTTGACCTTTCCGTAAAGAGCCAATGATTTTACAGTAGAACGCAGGCGGGGGGGCGGGGGCGGAGACGGGGCGCGGAAAAATTTAAAGATCCGACTGCAAGATGGAGGTGAGATCCGCGTTAGGTCAAGCCGACGGCGAGCACTGCGGCGGCGGCAAATCGGCAATCATGTGCAAGCGCCTTTATAGATAGGTGTAAAACTTATCATATTGATCATATAATAATTTGTAATAGTTTATTTGGATTATTTATTTATTTCGGTTCTGTTACTAATCTGTCTCTCACTCTCTGAGGTTCTCCTCTGGTTTAGTGAGTGGCAGACTCACTCTCACATCGCAACCTCCGGGCTAAAAAATTAAGGAAGCACGAAGTGCCAAAAACTGCAGTTCTTCTAATGGCCACTTGAGGCTGGCTCCAAAAGTGAGTCAATCTCCATAGACTCCTATGTTAAATTTTCCAACTTTACAGCAGAAATAAACATGTTTACAGTCTGGTTCAAAAACCAGTTTTGGTCTTTTATATGTATACAGTATATATATAAAACTAACACATTTACATTTTGTTAAGTATTACAATTACGCGTATTTAAAGGCTGTTTTGAGTGACAGGCTGTCAGGCAATAGTGGCTTCCCAGTCAGATCCACCCCTTGCTCCTCCACAGCTCCACCCTCTTGCCCAAATGTGGTTACCTCTGGCTCCAAAAAACCAAGATGGTGAAGGCCAAAACGCCAAACTTGATGCTTTAAAACAGGAGTCCACCAAATAATGGGTGACATCACGGTAGCTACGTCCATTTTTTTTTTTTTTTTACAGTGTATGCTCTCAATTAACATTACTGGACTGTACAACTTCAGCTGAGAAAAGGGGTAATCTTGAGTCAGCTACAGCGGATTTTGTTTTGTTGTTTTTGCTTATAAAATGTAGCTTCAGTATTTAGTTGAGGGCATTGTTTTATTGTTGTTGTTGTTGTTGTTGTTGTTGTTGTTGTATTTTATTGAGGGGGTGGGGCTAAGTGGAAGGTCTGGAAGTATGTTTGGCCTGACTCTACATGTCACCTCTCTTTACTCCTCAGTGCTGTGGGTCACCATCCTGTGTAAAGGTCCTTATACCAAAATCTTTACAGCCCCCTGACCCCCTGTTTCTCCCAGCCTCTGCACAGTGTACAGACACACTGGAGCTCCATTACATTTTGCCTATGTCCTCGTCTCAGTGTGCTGTTTTCCTAAAGGCCAAAAGATGCAAAACATTGCAAAACATTTTAGCTCCTACCTTTACATGTTGTTACTTGATTAATGACGTTTGGTCCAGCTTACTGCAAAACGTCAGCTACCTAGAATCAATAGCAGGCCGTTCACCTGCAGCATGTTGTCAAATACAATAAACACATTCAGTGATGATGGTGTTTATCTGTAATAGGTCAGGGTTGTCCTTGCCAACAGGTGAGACCAATGTGTGTGCGTGTGTTGGAGGGGTGTATTTGCATAGTCTAAAATACATAACAAGCCTACAGTTTGAGTCTGTTCATTTTACTACCTGAGCACACAGAAGATTATTTCACAGGATCAGTGTGGTTTGATGCCATGAAGGTGGACAACTCCATTTGAGGAAAAGTTGAGGAGAATTCTGAGAGAAAGGTACATGGAAACTCACTTCTAAAGACTTTAAATGTGTAGAAACAGATGAGAAAACACATCTATAGACAGAAACACACACACACACACACACACACACACACAGGCTGAAAACTCATTCTTCTTCTCTCATAATGGGTCGGATTCCTCTCAGGGAGGAGTTTTGTGTCTCCCTGAGCCAATCAGGACAAGCGGAAACAGGTCAGGTAGCCGAAGAGGACCTCAGAGAGAGCGCAGGCAGGGCAGAGCAGCCACGCACGCCACGAGGTAAGAGAGCACACACACATATACACATATACACACTCACACACACACCTTTAACTCTGTGAGATCACAGTTCCCCTCTGAGCCTGTGGATGTACATCAGTGTATACATGTAGATATACCAGCATAACCTCTTCTGTGTGTGTGTGACTGTGTGTGTGTGTTCAAGAGAGTGTCAGAGCAGAAATAGGGCAGTGATATTTTAGTCACTAAGATTAGAAAGAGTGTTTTGAGGACTCATG